AAACTGACTCAACTGATGAACTGCAAATGTAATATCTGGCCTTGTGATTGTAAGATACAATAACCTTCCAATAAGCTCACGGTAAGAAGTAGGATTTGGTAATGGTACTCACATGTCTTTAGTCAGATGTAAAGAAGGATCCATAGGTATTGAGCTTGGTTTACAACCAAGTAAGCCTGCATCTTCTAGCAAGTTCTGAGCATACTTCCTCTGACATATTGATATTCCTTTTGAAGATCTGGAGATTTCCAATCCTAAGAAGAATCTTGCAGGTCCTAAATCCTTTATTTTGAATTCAGACCTTAACAATGCCTTTAATTGATCCACTGCTTCATCATTGTCACTTGCAATCATAAGATCATCCACATAAACCAAGATAGCAACAAATGAACCAGTAGTAGCTTTGACAAAAAGTGTATTGTCAGCAGGGGATTGTATATAGTTTGCACCTAATAACACTGAAGACAATCTCTTGTACCACTGGCGTGAAGCCTGTTTCAATCCATAAAGAGATTTCAGTAGTCTACAAACGGGATTAGGAGGCAAACCATTGTTCTGTGGGGGAGTATATCCTTGAGGTAAACTCATAAAAATTTCTTCATCCAATTCACCATGGAGAAATGCATTAGAGACATCCATTTGAGTTAAACTCCAACCCTTTATAGCAGCAAGACCAAGCAAAAACTTCACACTTGTTAGTTTAGCAACAGGAGAAAAAGTATCTAGGAAATCAATTCCTTCTTGTTGAGTAAATCCCTGTGCTACCAAGCGTGCTTTATATCGCTCCACTGTTCCATCAGGATTGTATTTGATGGTGAACACCCACTTACAACCCACTACATTCTTGCCTGGAGGTAATGATTCAACAACTCATGTCTTGTTAAGTTCAAGAGCATGTAACTCTTCATTAGCTGCCTTTGTCCATTTCTCAGACTTCATGGCTTGTTTAAATGTTTTTGGCTCTGTCTCTATATCATAAGCACAGATATAAGACTGAAAAAGAGGTGTATATTTGTCATAAGAAATGACAGAAGCAATAGGATATGGTGTAGTCTTTTTAGGTGATGATGAAACAGGACATGGTGTAGGCTTTTTAGGTGATGGAAGAAGAGAATATTGTGTAGGCTATTTAGGTGATGAAATAACTGGTCCAGTTGGTGGTAATGAAGAAATAAACGGAATAAGAGAGCAATGATACTCAGACAGATAACTAGGAGCTCTAGTAGTGCGTTTAGTCCTAGCCATAGGTACAGAATTAAGACCAGTATCATGCGTCTCTGTGTTACTAGTAGAAGAGATGGTACTAGGATTTATTGCAGATGATGATGCAGTAGTATCAACAAGAGAATCTTCATCTAGTAATTGTCTCAACAAAATGTAATGGTGCAGGAAGAGGTAAAATAGAATTTGGAAACATGTCTACTGCTTTATGGAACAAATCACTAGTTTTAAAAGGAAAAGTTTGTTCTTGAAAAACCACATTTCTAGAGATTGAAACAGAATGAGTTTCTAAGTCTAACACCTTATAGCCTTTAAAACCAGCAGGATAACCTAGGAAAACAGAAGGTCTTGCTCTAGGTGAAAATTTAGTTCTTTCATTATGATGTGTGGAAACATAACACAAACAACCAAAGTTCTTTAAAAGCGAGTAATCTGGTAGTTTTCCAAGTAAAAGTTCATAAGGAGACTTATTTTGAAGCAATGGTGATGGTAAACGATTAATCAAGAAAACTGCTGTAAACACACAATCATTCCAGTATTGAAGAGGGACATTAGACTGAAAAAGTAAAGATCTAGCAACGTTGAGAAGATGCTGATGCTTTCTCTCAACAACAGAGTTCTGTTGAGGAGTATAAGCACAAGAAAAATAATGCATCATGCCATTTTCTTTAACCAATTCAGTGAAAGCAAGTTCAGGTGCATTGTCAGATCTAATAGCTTTTATTTTTGTATTAAACTGAGTAGAAACAAGTTTATGAAAAGCAGGAAAAACTGTTGAAACATCCTTTTTATTTCTTAGCATATAAATCCAGGTGGTTCGTGTACAATCATCTACCAATGTAAGAAAATATTTAAAACCCTCAACAGATTCAACACTAAAAGGACCCCATATATCCAAATGAACAAGATCAAATGGTTTTAGAGCTAAATTGTTATGAGAAATATAAGCTAATCTTTTCTGTTTTGCTAAAGGACATATAGAACATGCAGAATTTTGTGAATCTAAAGACTTTAGAGAAGGAATAACACTAACAAGCTTCTGTAAAACAATAGACGATGGATGGCCTAATCTTTGATGCCAAAGCTTTCCATCTATGACAGATCCAGAGAAAGAACAAGCAGGTGTTGATGGAGAGAGGGAAGTATTCTCTGTTACAAGAATGTATAAGTTGTGATATAGTCTACCCCTCCCAATCATCAAACCCTGAGAATGTTCCTGAATCAAACAACAATCAATATAAAAATGAGCAGAACAAGATATTGTTTTAACCAATGAACTCACACTAATCAAATTGAATTTAAAATCCGGTACATGCAAAACATTATGCAAAATGAGTGTTTTAGTAATGCAAACAGTGCCTGTATGTGTAATGGAGACCCTAGTACCATTTGGAAGAGTAACAGTAACACCTGAGACTGATTTTAATTCCCTAAACATGGCTAGATTTGAACATACATGAATAGAAGCTCCACTATCTATAATCCAAGCATCAGGAGGTAGAAATTTTTGTAAAGAAGAAAGAATGTGATTCTGAAAAGTGAGATTATTATTTTGAAATTTTAGACTGGTAGAAGGAAATAGAAATTCAGTACCAGAAGTGGATGTATGAGCCATCAAACCATGTTCTGAGATAGTGGCAGTGGGACTAGGTGTGCTTGAAGAAGTTACAGGCTCTGAAACTTGAACTTGAGCTTGAAATTGCGAAACCATTTGTTCTATTTGCTCCGGACTAAAATTCTGAAGATTTTGACTATGTCCACCTTGTATAACCTGCGGTGCATATTGAGGAACCAAAGTACCATAAGAACCATTCATTGGCATAGGCATTTGCATATATTCTTCTGTTGGATAAGTGCCATTCTCAGTATACACATGAGCTACTGCATTTGCCTTTTGCATTGAATTGGTATAAGGCATCATCTGCATCTGAGATTGTGATTGCATCCTAGGCTGAATTTGCATCATTTGCATCCGAGGCTGTAAAGGAGGATTACCTCTGTAAGTATATCCAATAGCCCCTGCCTTATAACCAGTGGATATCCTAGAATCTTGAAACACTTTTGAACTATATGTCCTACTTTCCCACAGTGAGAACACACCGGCTTCTGTGATGGTCTAACAGTATTATAAGCAGCAATATATGCATTCTCAGCATCATTCATCATAGGAGAGGAACTCTGAAAAGCAACATTATCAACTCTAGTAGATGGTTTAACAATTAACACTCTTCTGTCTCTCATCCTGAGTGACAATATTGAATGCTTCTTCTATAGTAAGAATAGGCTTTAACATCAGTATATGATGCCTAGTCTGATCATAACTCTCATTTAACCCCATAAGGAACTTAGTTACCCTACTTCTCTGTTGCATTTTCTCCCATTTAGCAGCTGCATCACACTCACAATGACCACATGTACACACAGGAAGCTCTACATAATTTTTCTGTTCTTCCCACATAGTAAGCAAAGCTGTATAATAAGTGGATACATCCATAGCTCCTTGTTCAATCTTAATTAACTTCTGTTCAATATCAAATATTATAGGAGCATCATCTTGTTTGAAACGAGTTAACAAATTGTTCCAAATTCCTTCTGCAGTTGCTATAAAAAGCAAACTCTGACCAATCTTTTTATCAACAGCATTCATCAACCATGTAGAAACAATATCATTGCAACGTGACCAAGCACCATAATCACGATGATCAATCAGAGGTTTAACAATCGTACCATCGACAAATCCCAACTTATTGCAAACATTCAAAGCCATCAAAATTGAACGACGCCAAGATGGAAAATCAGAGGAATTGGATAAACGATCGGAAACAAGAACAAGACCTGCGTGATCGGCACTATGTAGATAATAAGGATTATCATACTGATTGGCTGGATAACGCGGTTGTTCATTAGCATTTAACGGCAGATAAGTCACCGGAATCGGCGGTGGAGGAACATAAGATCCCATTCTCAGTGTAAGAACAGGAAATTACAAAGAAAAGTGTGACGAATTGAGTAAAGAAAGCAAGAATCGTCAACACTGGAGGTCAACGAAAGGAAAATAAAAGAAAACGGAACGGGAAAATCAAAATTCTGGTGAAACAAAAGCAAGAAATCGCATATTGCGAACAATCAAAAGAAGCTAAGAACAAATCGAAAAGCTCATCTCCGGCGAACAGACGATTGCGGAAGAAGACGATTATGCTCTGATACCATATTGAATTCTCATCATCAGAGAATCAAGATTGAAGAAGAAGAGAGAGCTTAACAATCTTTTATTATTATCGTCAAAAATGTTGTTACAAAGCTTAAACCAAAACTAATGATGAGAATAAGCTTATATAGTAATACATTAAACCAAGATGTAGTTAACCAGAATTAACCATTCAATAGCCGGTCCATATATCATCTGTAATATCCACAAATGAGTTATGTAGATTGTAATTGTAGAGTCGACTTAAACCATATTTTCATTATTTGTTTAAAATCAACTCAAACCTAGGATGAAAACTAATGCATGCATGAATATCTCATGTAGTCATGTACAGATTAACATTGTGGCCTTTAACCTAATATCTTTCTGGTCTTTTTTTGTCCTTCTATATATGTTTTAAGAATGTATCTTTTTGTAAAGAAAATATTTAAGCTTCTAAACACATATAAATCCAAACATATTTACATTATACATAGCTAAAACTGAATATCCTTTTTTATTAGTGAGTAGAACTTTGAAAGGAAATTTATTGTAGCTTTAAATAAATACCGTAGAAAACGGGTTTTCATCCTAAGTAAACGTCAAGAGTGGTGAAGTATTATGTAGAGCAAACTTTACAAAACTTTGAAATTCATCGAAGTACCAAAATCTTTTATATGAACCCTATAATTCATGAATATTAAACCCAAACTGGTTCTCTTTCACAAATTGAGAGATTGTTAAATACATTACATAATACCCAATTTACAACATTTGTGGAAAATGAGAGTCATGAGACAACAAACATTAATGATTTGGGATTATGTGGCTTCATAAGTGAGTATCCTTTATGATATCATCACAACATTCTTCACCAATTCATTGATCAAGTGGGAGAGCAATATCATTCTCTGATTATGTACGAATTTCTACAGGCTCTGGATATTCACACACCTTCGTGCCAAATGAAAAATTTATGATCAACAGAATCTCTCTCATATTGTAGCTCCATGCAAATTAAAATAGCAAACTCTTCGTTCCTTGATAGGAAAAAACATTAGATATAGATGTGAGTATTGATCTGGAGAACATAATTTTTTTCTTATTAATTGGAAAGCTCCTAACTTAGAACACTTTCTTTCTTGCTCAGCTGATTATATATTTTGAACATTTAAATACAAAGTGTGCAAATTTATGATCTAATGTAGTAACGCAAAACCAGAAATGCCAAACTTAAAGCACTGATAACCACCATTTACTAACCAGCATTAATTAACTATCATAAAATGTGATACATGCATACCCAAATAACTATGATCAACGAACAAATCTTAGTGGAAACTATAAACAAATATGAATTATTTTCAACTCATGATCAAAATAAAGCAAGTAACTTTGTGTAGATAGGTCAGAAATGATACCAAATGAAGGAGTACACGTAATCTCTACTACTGTTTCTTCAACCTCAAATCGAATAAGGGAACATCATGATAACATCGTGGACTTCAAAACAAGATGCTTCTCCTTTCCCACATTACCATTTCTCAAAGTAAAACAAAACCTTTGCATACCTTTTTGAAATTCTGGGTCCTTCTCTTTTTCTTACTGTTTTAACCTTTTTCTAGAAGACTATATAGTCCAAAGACTACTCACTATAAATGAGGAAAAATCGAAGGTTATACATGGCTTAAAAAAACTATGTAACAGAATCAAGAAATGAAATGAAGAGCTCAACATAAAGAAACAGTGAATAGGATCAATATTAAAAATCAACTTTATGTATGAACTCAAACAAAGAGAATCGAGAGAATCAAGAAGATGGTTAATCGTAAAATCACCCTAGATCGAGGCTCTTCATAGCCAAGAAACAAGTCAAGATCGTCAGATTCAAGACATTGATAAAGTTGTATATAGATCAAGAGGGTTTTACGAAGAAACCCTAACAGATCTCTATTGGCAGTATACCCACCTCCTTCTTCCACACAAAACACATATATATACACACATGTACAGGAGGAGGTGGACAGAATGCCAAAGATGTCTGTAAGAAACTCTTTGTCAAACCCTCATGAAAAGGAACAAAAGTTTAAAGATCCAATCTATTTCCAGTGTTCTTGAAGGAAACCCTCTCATAAAATTGGAGAGACACAAAAGAGTATTTTGATAGATGGAATAGTGATGGGAGAGAAGGACGGTGGTGATATTTATTGGTATTGAGAGAGAGAGATAGAGGCAGATGAGTTCTCGTTATGATGGGCTATATAAGCTTGGCTTAAAACCCTAGATGGTTGTGATGGAATAAGAGAAGAGATCGAAAGGATTCGGATTTTAATAGACCTCAGATCTAACAACATCAACACATAAAAGTGGAAGAGAGAGATTAGAAAAGAAGTAAAAAAGAGAAACTGTGAATAGTTTTTTTTTGTTGGTTTTTGTTACCTCACTAAAAATAGTTTTAGCAACTTTCCAACGGGGTTCACCTTTGCGCCTACCGTTTCCGTTTGCTTTTCTTTATTTTCTCAGCCTTTTTCCCGGATAAAGAAACGTTGACGTTGGCAATAATCTACAGAGAGTGTAACCCAAAATAAAAAATAAAAAATAACTGACAACAGAAATATGTATATGAGCATTTGTAATTTTTTTTTATTTCTTTGATGAAAGAGCATTTGTAATTTGAATAATAAAGTATCACCTCCTGCATATTTTTCTCCGTATGACTTAGTTTATAATTTCTAAGAATATAGTTCTAGACTAAGAATGGGTTTTGTTTTTGGCTGAAACCAATTGCAACAAGTTGTTCATATGTAATTTTCTTGATAATATTCATATATATATAGCTACAAAAACGTTACGAACTAACAAAAATATATTAGTAGACAAGCATGCACCATGCATGTTGTCACGTTGATCACTACAACCGTTACTAATAAATAAACTATTTAAAATGATTAATAGTAACGTAAAAATCCCAAATTACGGTACCGATCGATTTGTATCAGTCCAGTGTTCACGTACACGTTGCAATGTATCTCAGTGCAAAAAGAAACGGATGATAAATTTAAATTTATTTATTTATATATATTTGACAGCTTTTTTTAATAAATAGTTATGGTAGTATAATATTTCGAATGATCATGTTGATGTGAATATAACAATTTCCTCACTTCTGGTTTATGCGACGGTGTGAGACAACTTCCAATTAATGGGTCCATTTACTAATCCACTAGAGGCAGTGGATTACAGAATCCAAGGCTCGGGGTAAAAATGAATAACAACAGTAAGTAAGACGTCTAAAGTTTGAACCTATATGACTTAAACCCATCAACTATCTCTAAGGGCTAAATAAAGAAGGGTAAGATCTTTGGGGTTAAAAAGGGTTAATCACTTCTCTTCTTTTTTTTGACATGGCCAGTCAGTCTCTAATATTACAATAAATGGAATATACATTATTGTTTGATACATTATAGATTAGCAATAGGAATTTAAACATCTTTCCCTACAGGCGATTGATATGTCGCACTCATCACTCCCACGACCTTCATGATCTCCTTTATGCTCCTAGACGAAATTGCTTCGACAAATCCCTACTTTTTGTTTAGTTTTAAGTTTTGAGTGAAAAAAAAGAAACAAACTTCCATAAAAGTGGAGTTAGTATTGTCATAAATCCATTTGAACAATAATAGCTGACCCCTTCAAGATATTAATTGCACCAACTCATAATAATACGTACTTCCTCACTATTTATTGCCTGAAATCTACCCACCCCCTATTTTTGGCCATCAACACCTCATACTCTCTCAAATTTTAAGAACTGAAAAAAAAAAAGTTAATTCAAAACATTGATAATTTTTCCTATAAAGATTTAAAGTTCACTACTAAATTTAAATCAAATTCCTTTCTTTTTTACTGGGATTAGCGAGAATGAAGTTTCACGGTTTATATATGCATGGATTCAATCGACTACCATAATTTGGCCGTTTAAAACAAAAAAAAACTTGGCCATTTGAAAAACAAAACATTCAAGTTGAAGTAGCTAGGTACACTGTAGCTTATAGACTCATCGTAGTAATATCGTCTGCCAATTTAGTTTCACATACTTATGCATTAGGTTTATGGCCAATGGGTTTGATATTTATATGCATTCAATGATAATGAAAGTAAAAACTGATATAGCGGGTTTGTCGGATTGTGAAGATGTCAGTGCTATGATTGAACCATTTAATAAAAGTCTCAAATTTCTGCTTTCCAGAGCATTACAGGCTATTGGATTCAACTTCTGTATTGTAAGGTTTAGTTTTATATTTAAAAAACAAAATTTACAAATGTGAAAATGTGTTCTTTTAACACCGAGCATCAACGATTTCAAGTAAAACTTCCATAAGAGCATGCAACAACAAAATTATGGTGGATGTCAAATTTATATGTTCATGTCTTTACTTTAGTTTATGCACTTTGAACGTAAAAACCCAATTTCACATATTGACATAAATCGGACCATTAATATATATGAGAATCTAACTGTTTTTTTCTGTGTAAAGATAGTCTTAAATTTTTGTGTGGTTATATACACATTTCATAAAAAAAATAACTAGTCTTAAATTTATCATAGCTAGCTAGCTTTATTGTTGTGAAAACTTATAATTTGTCTACGAAAACTGTTTGTAATACTTTAAGCCTGAAACATCCTAAAGGAGTATAGGTTCAATTCCTTCGACTCACTATATATACATTGGGGTAAAAAGGTTGGCAAAAAGTGGATTAAATACTAATAAGAACAATTACAAGTCGCCAGCGCAAATCATAATTATGGTTTAGCAAATTTATTCCCTTCTTGTCACCTTTTTCCTTCTGCATGCGTAGCACTCTCTCATGCATATCATCATCATTATCGTCATGTACTATTAATTTTATGCGTATTAATTAATTCAAATCCACGGATTAACATTTGATTACAATTTATATATTTGTTATATTCTCCAATTTATTTATTAAAATTTTAAAAAACTTTGTTATGGTCGATCGCAAACTTCTTAGTTACATTTTTTTTTTTTTATATCAATATACAGAACGCAAATCAGAAAAATATACTTTAAGAACTTTACTCAATTGGTATGTTAGCTAAAAAGAGTTATATTTGCATCCAAATTCTTTACAAAGAAGAATAAGTTGAATTTATTTTTGTTTTTCTTTTTACTTGGGAAGATCTATGTGAGATTCCATGATTACAAATCTTTTAGGGCAGCATATCACGTGATGCAGAAGGTATTTAATGAATAACTTGATTTGTTCTTTATGCAGTTGCCGAGTATTTATTGACATTTTTAATTCATATTCATATATATAAAAAAATACAATCTCTATTGAAAATGACGATTGCAGAAATATAAAAACGTAGAAGATAAACGATTGAAGAGACAGTGTTGGGTTGGGTCGAACGTCAAGTGATAGGATGTCACAAAAGATTGGCTTTTTGTTATATGATTTCAAAACATGAATCATGAAGTCCCATGACTATATAATATTCACATCACCTACTTTTGGGTATCCTTTACCCTTTTACTCCTCCTGTATTATGTTTTCATTTAGTAACATTTAGGGGGTGTATTGGAACAAGAATTTGAAAACATTTGGTGGATTTTGCATTTTTAGGTTTTTGAGAGAGTTTAGTTAGTTGTTAGGATATTTGGGTTGATTTGTTAGATTTTTTATTGGTGGTTTGGGGAGATTTAAAGAGGTGATTTGCTATAATCAAGGATTTATAATTAAAATTTCAGATGATTGTAGTAACAGAACCAAAATCTAACAGAGGATACTATGAAACTAGAATATATCGACATCGAGAGTAAAGCTTTAAACATTGCTTATGCCACGAACAAGCTTTCTACACAACAACAACTCTGTGCAAAACATCGTCCTCTAACCAACTATTATTTGCTTAGATATATTGATTCATAGATTAATTTAACACAACAACAATAAAAGGAGAGAAAGAGAGAGATATGAGAACAAAAGTCAAATAAGAAGCCATGGAAAACAAAACTCAGATTTATTATAGTTAGCCAAATTTAACTTGTTTATAATTAAGGTCATCGATTGAGAATTGCTAATGCATCAATACATATCCTTTATAATTTAACATACTGAAACAGAATGTGAACCTTATTTTCTTTGAATGATGAAAAAAAAAGACGAGAGACGGACCATCGTGGAATATCTTTTTTTTTTTTTCAATGAAATCCTTCCAAATAACTCCTATGGAGGTGTGATTTTTTCATGCTTATTTTTCAACTAAAAAGTTATCAAAAATCTCCCAAAATCACTGTTAAGTATTTCTTCTAAAAGTTTTTGTTAAGTTTGAATAACAGTGGATTTGATATAATTTTTATAAATCCTTGATTGAATAACAAGTGATTGTGAATTCTTTTGGATGATTTTACATAAATGTCAAGTTCAATAACATGAGATTTGGAAAGGTATTTATAAATCACAAGTTGAATAACACATGATTTTAAAAAAAAACCAATTTTTTAAAAGATCCTTGTTTCAATACACCCCCTTAAATTGCTCATGGTTTAACTACAAGTCATGTCTACGAGAGTTCAATTTTAGCCTCCAAAATGTTATTCATGTTGTAACATTTGTAATTTTACTTAACTATTCATTCATGCAACTTTCAATTACTATGAATCTTAATTTCCAAATAAAAAAAAAACCATATTGCTCAAATGTGTAGCATAATAACTTAGGTGCCATGCCAAATATAAAAGAAAAAGCCCACATGATGGTGGGCTGGTGGTAAGGCGAGCCCATGGTGGTTGGGTGTAACTCCCTCCTCCCCATGGTTCGATTCCTCGCTTCTGCTGTTATCAACATTATTGTGGGAAGTCTGTCAGTTGGACTTTGGTCCAATTGGTTTACCTGGTAGTCAGAAATGCAGGCGGCCTGACTATTCCTAACAATTAGTCGGAAGGCATTCCAAACTCGGGATAGGCAGAGTGGTAGCCCGAAAGGCCTAGCCGTTAACACGGTGGACAAGTCCATTATGTAGCACCTCGGTGCGTTCCTACCGGGGCCGACCGGATAGCCGATAGGGTTTATAAAAAAAAAAAAAAAAAAAAAACTTAGGTGCCAATTGTTTCAAAACTATTTGGGCTTCAAGGCCCAATCTCACTCAGGATATTAGACCTTTGAAAGCCTATTTCATAGCTGCGCTCTGATTGTCATACGACGTCGTAGAGAAGGGACTCCGTCGGCATCTAAGCACTAGGGTTCTACGAGTGTACAGTTGCTCGACCAGTTAGTGGTGAAAATGGAGAATCAGGAGCCGGAAATCGAGAAATTGCCTCAAGACGATGTTCCTGATCGAGAACCAGACCAGAAGAAGCTCAAGATTTCAACTACCGGCCAGGAAACTGATTCCTCGGCTGTTACCGCCGGCGGAAGCAACGTCGCCGAGCGTAGACCGCCGAAATACAGACGCAGGAAAGTCGCAATCGTGTTTGCGTTTTGCGGAGTAGGATATCAGGGAATGCAAAAGAATCCCGGCGCCAAAACCATTGAAGGCGAGCTCGAAGAAGCGTTGTTCCATGCCGGAGCCGTACCTGAGGCTGATCGGAACAAACCAAGAAATTACGAATGGGCACGATCCGCCCGTACCGATAAAGGAGTGAGTGCGGTGGGACAAGTGGTTTCTGGTCGTTTTTATGTTGATCCGCCTGGATTTGTGGAGCGTCTCAATTCGAAGCTCCCTGATCAGATTCGTGTGTTTGGATACAAGCGTGTTGCGCCGTCGTTTAGCTCCAAGAAATTATGTGATCGGAGGAGGTATGTGTATCTAATCCCGGTTTTTGCTCTGGATCCATGCGTACATAGTGAAGCTGAGATGGTTAGAACGGATTTAGGTTACGAATATATCAAATGTGTTGAGTGCTCTGAGAAAGGCTATAAGATTCCAGTTGGTGTTATGGGTAAAGACACTGATTGTGATACAAAATCATTGGAGATTCAGTCAGACATTTCGTCGAGCAACTTTGATGCATTAGGAACTGATGTCAAGTGTGAAACTTTGAGCTCTAGTGTACCTAATGTAGAAAGTAACTTAAACTCAGAAGTTCTAGATGGGGCTGATGTATCTGCTACGACCGAGAAAACCCCTGATTCAAGCTCTAAAGCACATGATATGGAAGAATCGAATTTGGATTCTTCGAAAGAATCGAATACTTTGGCTAAGGTAGAGATGAACAATGGGGGAGGAGGAGACATGACAGAGAGCAAGTTATGTTATGGAGAGAAGGAAATGGAGAGGTTTAACAGAATTCTAAGCTATTATGTTGGTTCACATAACTTCCACAACTTCACCACCAGAACAAAAGCAGCAGACCCAGCTGCAAATCGCTACATTCTCTCTTTCAACGCAAACACAGTGATTAATCTCGATGGAAAAGATTTTATCAAGTGTGAAGTTGTTGGACAGAGCTTCATGCTTCATCAAATCCGGAAAATGATTGGACTTGCTGTTGCAGTCATGAGGAACTATGCACCTGAATCACTGATCGAAACTGCTTTCAAGAAGTAAGCTTTTTGTTTCTTACTATTTCCCTGAATATATAATTGTTTGAGTCGTTTTGATTTGTATTGATAATGGAATTGGTAACACTTCACCAGGGATGTGAGAATAAATGTACCGATGGCGCCAGAAGTTGGATTATACCTTGATGAATGCTTCTTCACGTCTTACAACAAAAGGTTTAAAGGCAGTCATGAGGAGGTGTCAATGGAAGAGTACAAGGAAGTAGCTGAAGAATTCAAGTGGAAGCATGTTTACTCACATATTGGCTCAGCTGAAGAAAAAGATGGAGCTGTGGCTATTTGGTTGCATTCTCTGAACCAGAGAAACTATCCTGATCTACGATGCAATGAATACAAACCGGATGAAGTCATTGTCTATAAGAAGATTGGTGAAGCCTCTGAAGAAAATATCCATGAAGAGAAAATTACAGTGAAAGAGAACACTAATGGCACTGCAGAGCTATTTGTTGTCGATAAGGTGAATGATGAAACCTCTGAAGGAACAATTATGGAAGAGAGGACTACACTAGACGAGAAGGCAACGGAATGAAGCCGCTTTTTATCTACTGCGGATCACTGGATTCAAGCTTCACACCGCAGGATGAGTAACATCATGCCTCAGTTAAAAAATATATTTGGACATTTGTTTAAGTGTGTCCTTTGAGTTTTGTCTCTCATGACAAAATTTTGGAAACTCAAGTCATGTGTTAGCATTGTGACATTTTGATTTTATTATAATGTTACCGAAGTATTGGCTATGCCTATATTATTTTTGTCCATTTTAGGAAAACCATTCAAACTCTAATAATCCCAATAATAATCTTATATAACCTCATCTTGTTGATTGTAAAAAAAGGATAATCATAATAAGGCACCAACTAAGCACACGAGCATCACTAAGAAACAGATAAATCGAGCATGACTAAAACCGATTAATTAAAAACTCTATTAACATATAAAATAAATCACACAACCAATAAAAATGGCCCTAACTGCCACCTCATCATCTCCATCGTGTTTTGCTTAACGTCTTCATTTCAATTTTACTCAGAGTAGTAAAAGTATATTCTCTAAATGGTTCCAGATAGACATGAGTCCTTCTTACGCCATCAGAAAAAAGCTGTAGAGCAAAAGTGGAAAAATTTGAGAAATGTTGAAACAATGTATCTTCCGGCTTACTTAGTATAGCAAGTTTATGCTACTAGAAGCATTCGTTTTACATACATGAATCTCTAAAAGTGAATTGCATCACATAGACACGGTTCCTAGTGTTTAGTGATGGTGACAGAAAACAGCAAAAGCTAAACCCAAAAATGGATAAAAACTTGCGTTGGAAGAAGTTGACAATAAAAGAAAAAACAGAGCACAGTTAAATCATCTCTAGGCTATAAAAACAGAGTAGGAGTCACAACACAAATCACAACAAGGAAAACAGAGTTCAAGAGAATCAAATAGCAAAAAAAAAACTTAATATTCTTTCAAAAACAAAATGGGGATCGTAGGATTCCAATGGGGCGAGGGAAACTACAACCAACTGACGCTGCTGATGAACCGAGATAATTATGTAAACAGGCAAGTTTAACATTATTCGTCGTTTTTTTTGTTTTAATTTTGTGCTGAATACTTTTTTGATGTTTTTTCTTTTCTTTTCTATGAGTGATTAATAGGGTCATAAGTGGGGCATCTTGGAGTGGAAATGGCCAGATTTTGAGTGGTCGGTGCCAAGATAACGGCGGGTCGTGGTTTGGTATTTCTAGAGGAGGCCGAGTCGCTTTTCTCGTGAGTGGAGACTTATTAGTAGACCGCGTTCTTCCACACATGGGCTCTGAATTGTACCTAATTGAATTCTTGGCGGTTTGTTTCATATGTTTTTTTGTTTTTCATTATTATTCAAACATCTTTGTTTGGTAACTATCTAAACATCAAGGGATTGCTTTGTTTGATTGCAGGGAAATATGACTCCACAGGAATTTGCCAACGACGTGGCACGCAGAAATGAAATGGTCTATTTGACGACCTTTAGCCTTATAGTCGCAGACATGCCTTTGAATTCAATGGTTCATATCAGGAAACTACAGCCGATGGCCGTCGAATCAGAAATCGTACCATTTGGTGTGCACACACTATCTGCTCACGGTGGTCTCGATGGCACATTACCCCGGGTAATTATTAAGTACAACAAGTGTTTGTAACCGAGTCGAATTGTTAGGATAGTTCATTTTTGTAATTCTTTTTTTATAGTCTCTTTTTTCTTTTTTTTTTCTAAAACCAAACACGCTGTCTTATTTATTTGTTGAGTATTACGCAGGATTTACTCATGAGAGGCATTTATAATCTGATGTATGGGAACAATCCACTACCACCACTTGAGCTTGCTAGGAGGTGTATGTCTAATGCTGAGGGAGGACCACACGACGCGTTGTATCTCGACAAAATGGTTGAGCATTTCGAGAAATTTAATCTGACATTTTTTATGGTCCATCCTTGTACCATCACTAATCTCTTTCTTTTCAATTCGGTTCAGTATTATGGGGGACACTTTGGAACAACAAGTACGACAGCATTGGTGGTGGAACGCACTGGGAGAGTAAGGGTCTTTGAGAGGTACATGATGGAGAATGGTACATATAACACGCACGATTTCGATTTCGATCTCCAAATCGGGCAGTAGAAATGGTTACAAATTAAGAAGCATTGGGAAGCATCCGAATATTCATTATTCTCTCTAATTAGTAAATAATCTCGTTGATGCTGTAAATAGATCTCTCTCAAATTTATTTACCTTGTTAATAAGATTCAGGGATACCTATTTCCTTGGACACACTGCATATAACTCTAGTCGTCTATGAACATTATGCTTGACTATAAATAAATAAAATAGTTGATTTTCTAAGACTTTGGTATGAAAGTGATCAAGTTTTGCGTACGGATGCAAATCTTCAACGTGTGTCACAAGAATTCTCTTATTTTCTCTTTTGTTTTGGTATGTTAAGTAGTAAATAATTCCACATGTATATACTTAAGTGTCTATTTGATAAAACAAGGTCACCTATTAACCACTAGGCTCGGATTACCAAAGCTAATTAAGACCAAATACTAGTTGGATTTGAGTCTTAATTAAACTTGTGTGCCACTAGAAACCACTTTTGTTTATTTTTAGAATAATACAAAATATTTCTAAAGTGTTCCACATACACATTTGACATGACTCCTCCTTAATCAGTAAAAAGCTAGATCAAAAGTGGAACAATTTGGAAAATAGAAACTGTGTTTCTTCCATTGTACTCTTACTATAGCACATTGTGCTACTAGAAAGGGCATATGTAAATAATGTAAGAATGTAGAAATTAAGAAGAAGAAAAAATGGAACAGAGAAATTAAGAAAGAAAAAACAAGAACATAGTTTTTGGTTTTCTCAAACTTTCCTATGATCCTCGTGTCATCATCATCCTAGAGAAGATGTTGGCGGCCGATCCAGAAATGCAAACCACATGGCATATTCATTGTTATTTGATTAATAACTTTTGAAATAATTAATACAGTATTTATTACCAATCGATATTTTTTTATTTTAAAAAAATTATGGCAAAAATGAATTTTCCCGTAAAGGAAGGCTACAAATTAAACAAGGAAGAAGAGCATCGGGCTTTTACTTGGCAATTCATGGGTCGCCCATTTTCACATCAGTCACATCTAGTTGTATTATCTCCGCTCTGCACCCTAAAATTGATCCCATGCTGGAACCAAAATGAAATAAACTCTCTTTTATTAATATGCTATTGCACAGATCCTGTATATGCTTAAACTTGTTTCCATTCTTCTAAACACAAACTGCATATTTTTGTCTACAGTTAAATGTCTACAATATTGAAGGGAGCTCCTTTTATTATACCTGGGAGTGGTACGACCAAGATCTCCATGAACAAACTCTTTGATGTATGTTCCAGCCTGCACTATTGAAAATTTAAAACTTGCCCATCTTTCAAGATTATGATAAATGATAATGAGGTGAGTTAGAAGTTGTAGCAACCTGGGTGCACAGATGCAATAGAAAGTAGTTAGAGTGTCCTTTTATCTTTTCAACTTTCATCCTGAGTATTGGAACCACAAACACTGACTCTTACTAAACAGAAGAAAGCATCAAGGTAAGTAAAATGTGAAACTCACGATAGATTATCACTAACCAATGTATAATCTTTTCACGGTCCAGTGGACTTCGTCGGTGAAGCACTCTAACTGGTGTCTTCTGCAAGATTTTCTGCAGTGAAATAATATAGAACAAAAACGTTACTTTGCATTAAAACCAAGTTTCAGGACGGACAATGGATTGTCCCTATTCTTAAAAATCATAAAAGAAAGAAACGACTCACCAATTCTTTCAGGGAAGGAATTGAGTTGAAGTCTTTCTCTTCAAGTGGACGAGAAATCCATACAAGTGCAACATACTGCTTCTGCAGTACATAAAAAAAAGCATTGCACTGGTTGGTTCAATAAATTTTTTATTACATTTCTAACATAAGTATTTGTTGGTTCAATATTCCAATAGGATTTAACAATGCTGACCTGCTTCTCCGCTTCTCCCTAGCGCATCATTGCCCAACACTGACTTCCGATACATTTAAGGTCTTTTACTCCGACCTGTAGCCAAAATACTGCTTGTAAGATTGCAACAAGGCACGAATAATCAATTGATACAACATTTGTGTTCAATTAATTCGGCCTTACTAGTTTTTTCTCTGACTTGTTTATCTTTTCTTCAACTTCCTTCAATGATTGTTCAGACGGCAACTGGCGAGAATTCTGAACCTCGATCAAGAAAGGTCTACCTGAACCCAACATTCGTACCTGAATACAGCTCTTTTATATTATAAGCATAAACTTATTGAATATGAATATAACGTCCGAAAAGGGTAATTTTCTCACATCAATATCTTCTCTGCCAGCAGCATGGAACTTGTAGGAATCCCCAAGGCATGCTGGAAGAATGTTTCCACCAATTATCTCCTGAAATATATACAAAAATCTATTGAAGTCAATGTTATCTATAGGAATAGTGTTAACAAGTCCAGATGACCACTAAGAGACTGCTACCTCAACAGACGCTTCTCCCATTCTTTCATCATCAATAATCCATCGTGATTGACTAACATTTCTGGAGTACTGCAAAGATAAGATCGAACCATCAATTGAACTAGATCCTCGATAAGAGGTTAAAGATCTGCGAATTCATTTGTTACCAAACTACAATTTACACAGAAATGAAGGTTACAATACACTGCCCCAAGAACATGAAAACAGTGACTTACTTTGAAGTATCTCCCACTAAAAAAGATAGGCATCCTGTTGCAATGAACTGAAAAGATGCATGGTTCATACACCTGGTGATATAAGAAAAATAACGAGAACATGAGTTTCAGTTAGTCAAATAATGACAACCAGGACAAAAAAAAGTTCAACAAATATATATCTATGTGTTAAACATGCAAACATATACCTTTTCAAATGAATTCTCGGAAATACAGTTTGAACCATTCTCTGCGTCTGCATATACATAAAATACAATTAACAGATAGCATTTCGAAACTGTGAAATTTGATCCGCGGGATCTAAGGTATTATCTCAATCAAATGTGTAAGAAAATGATGTAGATGGGCACAAGATCCGGGAAGTGTAGAAACTGTCATAAGGAGGACATAGACCAGGCAGGGCTAGACAAGGACCAAGAACTAAGAATATATGCACATTTAAAAGAAGTATGACATCTATGCAAGACACTGAAGAAGCTTAGATAAAGAGGTCGGCTTAATTGCGTATTATCGCCTTGAACTTTCAAAGAAGAGTGAAAACTAAAAGAGCCTTCAGATGTAACCAAGGAAGAATTTCATAAATGAAGGTCAAATTTTCTTTCATCAACAAACTCCTTAAACATCACAAGTATCGGTGATATTTCAAGCAATTATAGATGCACCATGTCATAAATGATTTATGAATCAGGAGTTCAGGAAAAAAGATTCAACCGAGTCCTAAGTGATTGTAGAGTCTCGACATACCTGTTTTCCTCCTCTTACTTTCATGCGTTGTTTCAGAAGCACCCTGAGCCTCGTCTGATGCTTTAGTGTATGTCAAACGGATGTGAAAAGAGCTTGAATCTGATTCAGCGCCCTGCCAAAACAGAGAAGAAACGCAAAGACTTTTGTTATCTGGAAACAGATTTTGCAGGTTATAACATCCATTTGTATAAGATACTAAGCAATAGAAGCAAAGGTGAAAACCTAAGCAACAACTCAACAATTTTCCAAAACAGAAACACTTTCAAGCAAATCACCGACTCACCAACGATGCTTTAAGTTGATCCAAGAGTAGAACTTTCAAAGCATCCTTTACAGAAAATTTGTCGCGTTGCAGCCAAACTTCGGTGCTATACTTTCCTTTAAGGTATGACCTATAAATATAAAGGTAGATACATCAACACTAGAGCAGAACCAAAACAAAACTGATAAAAAGGAAAAACTCTTTAGCTGATGCAAGCGAAGAAGCTTACAAGAGTGCACGTTCATTCTCCATGATAGTTGATGGCACAGAGACTTCAAGACCAAAGCTATCGAACTCATGACGATCCTGCTTCACCAAGTCCGTTATCCTTGAAACGTAATCACTACTAGAATCCGATTTCACCAGCTCTTTTTTGGCATCGGAAAAAACGAACTGCAATATACCTAAACAAACAATGCAGATTCTGGAACAGCTAGATTCCGATGAACCAGTTTCACCATCACCGGATTTGAGCCAACTGTGAAGAGTTGAAGTCGAGACTGAAGAAATATCGGAATCAAAAGCCTCGACGGCTACCAATCGGAAAATACATCTCTCGCAGACCTAACAGAGCACACAGACACACCGACTTACTAAAAATCGGGGAAAACAAATTCAAAAAGAGATTGAAACGGAATCGGAGAAGTTGTGAGAAATAGAAACCCTAAAAACTAGTGAGAGCAAGAGAAAAGAATACGGACCCCGAGAGATAGAAGATCTTTCACAGCACCGGAATGCAGAGATCGAGCTGTTTCGTATACGCGCCGTGTCTTAGAGTCACCATGACTTACTAGGCCGTTGGGCAAGCCGGCTGATTCGCCGGCGACGGGTTCTTTTTCGCTGGATATCTGTTTTGGAAAATTGGAGGAAAATGGCGTATAGCAAATTATTAGTAGCAATCAAATTGCAGTGAGCATTCAGTTTTTGAGTGTCTTCTGGTGCCAAAAAAAAAAAAGGCTAATGGAGCAAAAAGGGCGTTTGGTCTAGTGGTATGATTCTCGCTTTTGGTGCGAGAGGTCCCGAGTTCGATTTACTCGGAACGCCCCTCTCGCTTCTCGGATTATATGTTCGTCTCGCACTATGTAATATAATCTCTTCCATTTTATGCTTTTATATCTAACAGTTGATCCTTCGTTTACAAAAATCTCTGTGTCCTTAATGTAAGGATCATAGTATTAAAATTGAATTGAATTAAAATTAAAAATCTTCGTAATAACAATGAAATCAGTCACATTATAAAATTAAATTGAATCATTACGTAACTCACTCAGCTCAATTTGATTTATGGCTGCGAAACAATATTAAATCATTCAATTCACTCACCAGTCACCAACACTAATGTAACATTTACTGTAATTGAATTCTTTGGTTCAAGAGGTGAATTGACAAGCAATCACATGTTACCTTCCAATCTAGTTTCTTGTTCATGCATTGAAAGTCTGCTTATTGCTATGGGTACTATATAATCCAAACTTCAAACAAAACTCTTTTGGGAGATGTGTGTGCAAAGTAGGTTTGAAAAACGCAGTTAAAGTGTTCGATGAAATGCCTCAGAAGAAACATGTAACTCCTTGCTCAAAACTAAATCAAACCGATTCAGCCACAACAAAGTTAATGATCTCACTAAGCAGATTCTCAAATAAGTTAAAACGATACACCATTGTCTGAAATCACATCACCTTAAAAGCCCTACTTATTCATTCGCCATAATCTTCCAATCTAAAGACAGAGAGACATGTGTTTTAGAACTACAATAACATCGCACGAGTAAGAAAATGATAACCTCGTTGACTCAAACCAATCAAATCTCCGATCACTTTTTATCTTCACCGAAAAGTAGACGGAGACGAGAAGCAAAGACGCCGGAAGAGTCAATCGACGCTTGATGAAGAAGATCGCTTTTGATTTTACTCATACGATCCGTCAAACTATCGTGTTCCTTCTTGAGAACAGCAGTGTCTAGTTTCTTATTGCTGCATTGAAAGTCTGCTTATTGCTGTGGGCACTATATAACCCAAACAAACTTCAAACAAAACTGTATAAACTGTATAAACTGTCATAAGGAGCAACATAGACCAGGCAGGGCTAGACAAGGACCATGAACTAAGAATATATGCACTTTAAAAGAAGTATGACATCTATGCGAGATACTGAAGTGGCGTAGATAAAGTGGAAAAGTGTAAAGCATCTTCACTAGGTGAGAGAGTATCTCTTTCAAACTGGGTTGGGTTAGAGGTGTTTCAAGTCTCATTAGTATTTCTTTTCTCTATCGAATAAATTCTCTGAATTTTTCGTAATCCTGTCTTTTTTATAGCTTCTTTAGCTCGATTATCTATTTTATATTACTGAATTTTGTTTTTATCAAAGGGTTTCACTGTTTGGTTAGATTGGGATTTTTCGAATTGGGAATTTCTGTACAAAATATTGGAAACTTGGAATCAAAAGTCTCGCTTATTTGCGAGATGTGTAATTAAAAATATTAATTCCTTACCAGAACGTGATTGGTTCAAGGAGAGCTTCGTGGAGGGACAATTCTTATATCTGCCGAAGGTCAATTCTTGTTTATATATGACAAATTAACAAGTTAACAAGTTTGAGTCTTTAGATATGTTTCAGGTTTGTATTTGAGTTTCACTTTGAGTCTTTCAATTTTAAGATTGTGTTTGTGTTTGATTCTCAGTTTTATGTTTGTGTTTGAGATTAAGTTTTAGTCTTTCATGTTTTTATTTGACAGTTTGAGTATCACTTTGAATTTTATTTTCAGTTATGGGTGGGTTTGATCTCGTGGAATCAATCACCACATTGTTGTTCTTTTCATCACTGCTCTAAATAGTCTACATTGCTATCATCATAAATCACAAAAATCATAATTCACATAAATGCCCGTAGGCCGGCCCGTTAACCCACTGGGCTTTGCGGGGCGGATCTGGGCACTGTTTTATTGTCCGCGGTCTTAACGGCCCGGCCCGTAGTGGTCCAAAAAAAAAGAACAAGCCTATAGCGGGCGGCCCAGATGAGCGCAGGCTGGACCGTTTGACACCCCTATATTTTAAGGTATTTTTCAATATTAAATAAATTAAAGAAATTGAAATTATCAAAATTTTAATTATTATGATAATCTTATATCTTTTTTGGTAATTAGAATCTTATATATTTTAATTTTAGAGTAAAGTAACTTAATTTAACTTTTTATTTATATGATAAAAATTAGGAGAAAAGTATCTCTCAAATATGTTTTTGAAATAATGATATACATAGTTAAATCTAACGAAATTAAATAATGATATTTTTTGTTAAAAAGGTAAATAATGATTTTAGGATAAAATGGAAGAAGATCCATATCACAAAGAGAGATGTCATGTATCAGCTTGTGAAAGTATGAATTTTAAGAGAACCTTACTTTAATATATAATATAGATTTTTAAAATAATGATGTACATAACTAAATCTATTGAAATTATATAATGATATATTTATCTTGTTATAAAACTAAATAATGATTTTAAGATAAAATGTAAGAAGACAGATGTTACAGGGAGAATTGTGACGTTTTAGCTTATCAGAGTATAGATTTGAAGAGAATGTAATAGATATCTAAGAAACTTAACCAAGTCTAAGATATTAAAACTATAAATATTGGACAAACTAAACTAAACTATACCTCGATAATTTTTCATCTTTAATCAAGTTAGAGTGCTCGGGAAGTAAGCGCAACATGGATACGCCAAATGATTTGATGAGAGAAGAGATAAGACTAAAAGTGTCTGAAAATCACAATTGGTCCAAACTTTGTCCCGATCTCTTACGGTCGATTCTCGAAAGCTTGAGCTCTATTGATTTTTACCGAGCAAAAACCGTTTGCTTAGATTGGTATTCAATTTGGAAAACATGCGTGAAGCCTCTTTGTCTATGGCGGATCATATACGTAAAAGATTCTTTGATGTTGTTCAAACCCGGAGAAGACAAGATTTACAAAGGAACAAACGTTGGACTCTCCAACGACAGCTATTATATGGCTAGCTCCGGAAACTGGCTCTTGATGGTCGATTCTCATCTCGGTTTCTACATTTTTAACATGTTAACGAGCAAAAGAATTGATCTTCCATCAATGGAGTCTTCAATTCGGGGTGGAAATGTGAGATTCGAGCGAAACCACGAGCATGGATTCATCTGGGGACACTTTGTCGAACCTTCTCGTAAGGCTGACGTGTCAAAAGCCGCCATCATACGGGGAAGAACAGTTGTTCTGTGGATAGACGAAAGAACAGGAGATTTTCTGGTTGCTTGGATTTTCAACTATCGTTACTTGTTCTCATACAAGAAAGGAGATGATTCGTGGTGGAATTGGAATAACCATTGGAATATGGAAAACCTAAATTTCATTTTTTGGGATTTGGCTTGCAGATACAACAAGCTTTATCTCTACACTACTAATGGTCACATCAAAGTTATTGATTTCTCTGGAAATGATCCCATAGAAGTAATCGAAAAAAACCCGTATTGGGAACATCCATTTCGATACTTAACCAAACAAGAGGAAAGCATTCTTCATAGTAGAATCGCGATTCAGAAATCAGGAGACGTTTTGATTATCTTGAGTATAGTCTCAATAAGTTCGACAGAGATACCTTTGTTTTATATCTTTAAAATGAATCTTGCAAGTAAAATATGGGAGAGAGTAGAATCTATTGGAGATGATGAGATGTTGATCTTTGGTCATGGGGTTACAATAAGAGCACCGGTTCAAGATGTTGGTGATGGAATCAAGAGTGGTTCAATATATTTCGTTAAAGAAGACTTATGGACAATAGATTTTCATGCTGTTTCAAATTGCGGTGTCTTCGATCTTGCAACAAGTAAAATCAAATGGTCTAAGGAAAACAGTTTTAATAATAAATATGTTACAACTCGGTGGTTTGTTCCAGGATTTTCTTAGTCTTTTGGTTAACTAGTTTTCTCGATTTTAGAGATAAACCGGGTTACGCCTGGATACATATTTGATAATTTATATTTTCTGAATTAGTTAATTTTGTTTTATTTTAAGAAAATTATTACATGCAAAAATATATTGTGATATATTTTTAAATTTAAAAAATGTGTTTAGTACTATCAATTGTTTAGTTTTATCAATTATTTTTAATGTAATTTATATTTATGAATTTAATTTTTAGCAATATAAAATTAAAACGTAGAAGATAAAAGATTGAAGAGACAGTGTTGGGTTGGGTCGAACGTCAAGTGATAAGATGTCACAAAAGATTGGCTTTTTGCTATATGATTTCAAAACATGAATCATGAAGTCCCATGACTATATAATATTCACATCACCTACCTTTGGGTATCCTTTACCCTTTTAGGCTTTTACTAATGTATTATGTTTTCATTTTCTAACATCTAAAATGCTACTGGTCGAACTACGAGTCATGTCTACGATGGTAGGTAGATAGTGCAACTATTTCAAGCTTCGACTTAAAATTTTTAACTGGAATTTGGTCAACAAATATGGTGAAGCATAAGTGGAAACTTTAAAGAGAAAATTCCCAACAAATGTCAAATGGGTTAATGAGTGGTACAAATAGTGCGGTCTATACAAAAAGAAACATTATGAACTCAAATAACTTAGGTGTCGATTGTTTTAAAATTATTTGAGCTTAAAGGCCCAATATTACTCAGGATTAGGCCTGGGTTTCGGTTAACCGTTCGGTTATCGGTTGGGTCCATTCGGTTTCTGTTCTTTCGGTTTCAAAATTTAGTATCCATTCGGTTATTTTGAAATTTCGGTTCGGTTTCGGTTCGATTCCGGTTTTTTCGGTTTTAAAATTTAGTATCCATTTGGTTATTTTGCTTAGGATATTTTCGGATATTTTGGTTATTTTTGAGTATTTTCGGATATTTTTGGACATATTTCGGTTATTTTCGAGTATTTTACTATTTTTATATATTTTTCAAGTATTTTTGATTATTTGGTCTATAAATAACTAATTATTTTGAAAATATAATTGTATTTTGGGTATTTTGGTTATCCGAAATATTTTGGTTTGGTACCGATTCGGTTACGGTTATTCGGTTATAAAATTTAATATCCATTCGGTTATTATCAAATTTTCGGTTCAGTTCGGTTCGATTTTTTTTTCTTCGGTTTCGGTTCAGTACATTCGGTTTAGTTTATTTGCACAGACCTAAAAGTCAAGATAATAAATGGATATTATACCTTTTAAGGCCCAGTTATTAATTGCGCTTTTATTGTAATACGACGTCGTAGAGAAGGAACTCCTTCGTCATCTAAGCCAAGGACTAGGGTTCTCTGAGGGTACAGAACTAAACTTAATCGTAGCAAAGAACTACACTCAGTGGTGAAAATGGAGAATCAAGAGCCTGATATCGAGAAATTGCCTCGAGACGATGTTCCTGATAGAGAACCAGACCATAAGAAGCTCAAGATTTCGACCACCGGCCAGGAAATTGATTCCTCGGCTGTTACCGCCGGCGGAAGCAATGTCGCTGAGCGTAGAGCGCCGAAATACAGACGCCGGAAAGTCGCAATCGTGTTTGCGTTCTGCGGAGTAGGCTATCAGGGAATGCAAAAGAATCCCGGCGCCAAAACCATTGAAGGCGAGCTCGAAGAAGCGTTGTTCCATGCCGGAGCAGTACCTGATGCTGATCGGAACAAACCAAGAAATTACGAATGGGCACGATCCGCCCGTACCGATAAAGGAGTGAGTGCGGTGGGACAAGTGGTTTCTGGTCGTTTTTATGTTGATCCGCCTGGATTTGTGGAGCGGCTCAATTCGAAGCTCCCTGATCAGATTCGTGTGTTTGGGTACAAGCGTGTTGCACCGTCGTTTAGCTCCAAGAAATTATGTGATCGGAGGAGGTATGTGTATCTAATCCCGGTTTTTGCTTTGGATCCATGCGTACATAGTGAAGCTGAGATGGTTAGAACGGATTTAGGTTACGAATATGTCAAATGTGTAGAGTGCTTTGAGAAAGGCTATAAGATTCCAGTTGGTGTTATGGGCAAAGACACTTAGTGTGATACAAAATCATTGGAGATTCAGTCAGACATTTCGTTGAGCAACTTTGATGCATTAGGAACTGATGTCAAGTGTGAAACTTTGAGCTCTAGTGTACCTAATGTAGAAAGTAACTTAAACTCAGAAGTTCTAGATGTGGCTGATGTATCTGCTACGACAGAGAAAAACCCTGATTCAAGCTCTAAAGCAGAGGATATGGAAGAATCGAATTTGGATTCTTCGAAGGAATCGAATATTTTGGCTAAGGAAGAGATGAACAATGGGGAAGGAGGTGACATGACAGAGAGCAAGTTCTGTTATGGAGAGAAGGAAAAGGAGAGGTTTAATAGAATTCTAAGCTATTATGTTGGTTCACATAACTTCCACAACTTCACCACCAGAACGAAAGCAGCAGACCCAGCTGCGAATCGTTACATTCTCTCTTTCAATGCAAACACAGTGATTAATCTCGATGGAAAAGATTTTGTCAAGTGTGAAGTTGTTGGACAGAGCTTCATGCTTCATCAAATCCGGAAAATGATTGGACTTGCTGTTGCAGTCATGAGGAACTATGCACCTGAATCACTGATCGAAACTGCTTTCAAGAAGTAAGCTTTCTGTTTCTTATTATTTCCTTGAATATATAATAGTTTGAGTCGTTTTGATTTGTATTGATTATGGAATTGGTAACTCTTCACTAGGGATGTGAGAATCAATGTACCGATGGCGCCAGAAGTTGGATTATACCTTGATGAATGCTTCTTCACGTCTTACAACAAAAGGTTTAAAGGCAGTCATGAGGAGGTGTCAATGGAAGAGTTCAAGGAAGTAGCTGAAGAGTTCAAATGGAAGTATGTTTATTCACATATTGGCTCTGCTGAAGAAAAAGATGGAGCTGTGGCGATTTGGTTGCATTCTCTGAACCAGAGAAACTATCCTGATCTACGAAGCAATGAATACAAACCGAATGAAGTCATTGTCTATAAGAAGATTGGTGAAGCCTCTGAAGAAAATATCCATGAAGAGAAAATTACAGTGAAAGAGAACACTAATGGCAATGCAGAGCTATTCGTTGTCGATAAGGTGAATGATGAAACTTCTGAAGGAACGATTATGGAAGAGAGGACCACACTAGAGGAGAAGGCAACAGGGTGAAGCCGCTTTTATCTACTGCGGATCACAGGATTAAGGTGGAAGCATCAAGCTTCACCCGCAGGTCCAAACCGGACTAGTGAGCCAGATGAGTAACATTTGGACATTTGTTTCAGTGAAAGAGAACACTAATGGCACTGCAGAGCTATTCGTTGCCGATAAGTTGAATGATGAAACCTCTGAAGGAACGATCATGGAAGAGAGGACTACAGTAGACGAGAAGGCAACCGGGTGAAGCCGCTTTTATCTACTGCGGATCACTGGATTCAAGCTTACCGGACTAGTGAGCCAGGTGAGTAACATGATGCCTCAGTTAAAAAATATATTTGGACATTTGTTTCACTAGTGTCCTTTGAGTTTTGTCTCTCATGACAAAATTTTGGAAACTTAAGTCATGTGTTAGCATTGTGACATTTTGATCTTATTATAATTTTACCGAATAAGTATTGGCTATGCGCCTATGCCTATATTGTTTTTGTCCATTTTAGGAATGCCATTGAAACACTAATAATCTCAATAATAATATATAACCTCATCTTGTTAATTGTAAAAAAGGATAATCATAATAAGGCACCAACTAAGCACACGATCATCACTAAGAAACAGATAAATGGAGCATTACTAAACCGATTTGAAAACTCCCTAAACATATAAATCAATCACACAACCAAAATGACCCTAGCTGCCACCTCATCATCTTTAACGTGTTTTCTTTAACGTCTTCGATTCAACTTTACTCAGATTAGTAAAAGTATTTTCTAACTGGTTCCACATACAAATGACTCCTCCTTACTCAATCAGCACTAGCTAGAGCCAATAGAATCGGACTACCAAAGCTGATTAAGACCAAAGAATAGTTGGATTTGAGTTTTAAACTTGTGTGCTACTAGTAAACCACTAATTGTATATTCCTAGTATAGTAAAATAATAATTCTGAATGGTTCCACATAGACAAGACTCAAGAGTCCTCCTTACTCAATCAGAAAAAAGCTATAGAGCAAAAAAAGTAAATTGTATCACATAGACACGGCTCCTATTTGGAGGAGAGAGTATGATGGTGACAGAAAACAACAAAAGACAATTCTAAATGGTTCCACATAGACATCAGTCCTCCTTACTTAATTAGAAATGCTGAAACTCTCGGTGTCTTCCATATTACTTAGTATGGCAAGTTTATACTACTAGAAGCCACTTTATTCGTGGTTTTACATACATGAATCTGTAAAAGTAAATAGCATCACATAGACACGTTCCTGGTTGTTAGTGAATGGAGGAGAGAGTTTGTATGATGGTGACACAAAACAGCAAAAGCTATATCCAAAAATAGATAAAGAAGCTCTCAAGCGCGTTGGGGTACTTACGTTGGAAGAAGTTGACAAGTAAAGGATAAAGCATAGCACAGTTGAATCATCTCTCGGCTATAAAAATAGAGACGGGGTCACAACTCAAAATCACAACAAGCACAACAGAGCAAGAGATTCAAATAGCAAAAAAAACTTATATATTCTTTCAAAAACAAAAATGGGGATCGTAGCATTCCAATGGGGAGAGGGTGAGAACATACTGACGCTGCTTCAGAACAGAGAGAACTGGCAATCAAGGCAAGTTTAAAATTCATTCGACGTCTTAGGTTATAATTTGTGCATCAGACATTGTTGATGAACCTTTTTTTGTATGGGTGATTAATAGGTCAATAAGAGCGGCGGATTGGGAATGGGATGAAAGCAAGGTATTGAGTGCTCGTTGCGGAGAGACCGATGGGACGTGGTTAGGTATTTCTTTTCGAGGCCGAGTCGCTTTTCTTGTGGAGGCAGGGCCCGTTAACAGAGACAGAATCATCGGCGCCGAGCGTCGTACTCTTGAGTTCTTAGAGGTTTGATTAATGATTTCTTTTTGTTGATTTTTTGTTTAAACTATCTAATTTCTCACGGGATTGCGTTGATTACAGAGCAACGAGAGTCCAGAGGACTTTGCAAAGTCATTAGCTGCAGATCGCGGACGTAACACGCAGATAGCCTATCATCTAATTGTGGCCGACATAGCTTCAAACTCAATGTTATATATCTCCAAACAGTCTTTCTCTGAAGATGGCACTGTCCATATAATGCCTGTTGGTCCTGGTGTTCATACCCTATCTTCAGCTGGACTCGATTCCGAAGTTGGACACAGGGTAATTTAGTATAAGAATCTTGTAACAGAGTTTTTATATGCAAATCTTTTCATATATAAATGTATAGCTTAAGATCAAACCCTATTTTTCTGGTCTCATGCAGGAATTACGTCTGAAACAGTCTTTTTCTGAGAGGATTAACAGAAAACTACCAGAGCAAATCTGGGACCTTGCTGAAGAGATTATGTATGATCGCGAAGCTATAATCGGAGACCCACTGAGCTCTATTTTTGTCGACGACACTATGGTAAGAAACTCAAAACATTATAATTGAGCCACCCTTTTTATATATGATCATCACCTGCATTATATTATTGTAAACTCTCTTCTTCATTTTTACCTTTTTGATTCAGATTGAACACGAATACTATGGAACAAGAAATACGACAGCATTGGTTGTGAGACCCACCAAGGAAGTGTCGTTCGCTGAGAGGAACAGGGCGATATTTAATGCCGATTGGACCATGCACGCCTTCTTTTTCACCATCATCTAGTTACAATGAGCATTCCCCAGCATCCAAATATTATTATCTATACTAAATAATCTTGTTGATGCTGTAATTAATTAATAGATCATAATCTTGTCGGTTCAGGGAAACCTATTTCCTTGGTCACACTATATCTCTAGTGTAAGAAACAATATGCTCTAAATAAATAAAAACTAGTTGGTTTTCTGAAACTTTCCTATGCCGTCTATTCACTCTATATTTTCAGTCTGTTCAGTGATATTGAGTTATTTGTTTTTCATTTTTCCTCTGTTAACTTCACCTTAATTCATGAAATTCTCAATTCCGGTAATCACACTGAGACATAGTTTGCAGAACGAGTTCACACAGCTGGGATAACTTATACTCGTTTTGGAAACCCTGATTGAGCAATTTCAAGCAATTCGTCAAGAACCCTTGTCGCATTTTCTACAGTACTTACACAAAAGTAAAAACATAATGTGGTAATGAACAAGAACAATGAAATCAAGAACATATATAGAGATTAAGAAACATCAAGAACGTAGGAACATATAGAAAATGAGAAAAAGGAAGCACACTAGACATTTATCATAACAACTGTAACAAGAAAGCCAAGACATGAAGAGATTGTTCATTTCGAGACTATCATAAAGCGATAGTAGCTTGTGATGACCATCGCGTCTACTATCTAATTAGTATTATGGAACTCATTAATACAACCAAGTAAACAATCTCATGCTTTTCTTCTTTTGCAATCTCGTGGTTTTAAGTATTTAGAGTCTTAAATCAGCTGTATAAGACAATGTTGTTAAAAACCCCAAGCAGAATCTATTTATGGTCAATAATTATTTATACATAACAATAGCAATGAAGAGAAAAACAAATAATTTAACGTAAGTCAAGAAACGTCAACCTCATGAATCAACAAACTCAGGGTTTATCGTACAACTTGTAAAAAACCATTGATATCAATTACATCAATAGATTAAAAAAAATATTTGGAGTTTGAATGAAATGCAGAGATAACTCATCTAGAAGCTGGTGTTAGGAATAAACAAAAGTTTTTCGTATGAATATTGCAAATCTTCAACTTGTGTCACTAGAAATCTCTTGCGCTCTTATTTTTTGGGTATGCTAAGTCTTAAATGATTCCACATGTACAAATAACTGATCATTATACGAGAAAATTAAAACAGATCACCTAGCTACTAGTCTCGGTGAAAACCAATGATTAAACCCTTTACTAGAAAAGTGTAAAAAGCTTAAATTTTAAACTTGAAGGAAAAAAAGTCCTAGGAGGTTTAAAATGACGTGTCATGTTTCCCATATTGGAGAGATTGGGAGTGTTGTTGTCCCAGTCCAATTACGAATGTAATCAACTTAATTTATAGAATTTGGTTAATTTCATTAGAGATAGTTAAAATGATAAAATTCTATTTCAAAATACATCAAAATTGCAATAAATTATTTTATTCCTATTAAATTAAATTGATAATTTTAATCTTCTATAATATGGTGGGAGTGTCAATTGATTGATAGTTATTTCTTTTCATAATACACTTTCAATTAAAGTATCATTGGATATTTAATTTTTTTTCCAAACATTAGTAAATTATTAAATTATTTGTAATATCATATCTTGAATTTGGTTGATTTCATAAAATACAATTAAAACTCTTGAATTCTATTTAAAAAGTACATCAAATTGCAATAAATTATTTTATTTCTATGAAAGTAAATTGATAATTTTAATCTTCTTATAATATGGTGATCAGAGTGTCCTTGAATTTTTCATAATAGACTTTAAATTAAAAGTGTTTAGTATCTTTGGATATATATATATATCTAACATTATTGAATATTAATATATTATAAAATTATTTGTAGTATCATATATCTTGGATATGGTTAATTTCAGTAAAGACAATTAAATTTTTTAAAATTCTACAAATTGCAATAAATTACTTTATTTCTATGAAATTAATTGATAGTTTTAATGTTTTTATGATATGGGGAGAGTGTCCTTGAATTGAAATTTATTTATTTCTTTTTATAACACACTTTGTTGCCTATATAACTAGAAGCTGGTAAGGAAATCACAGAAATAAGACAAAAAAAAATCGAATCAACAAGCAAAACAGAAATAGGGAGATCTCACTACGATCTGATTATGAATGACCTACCCTTTCATCTTCTCGACCAGATTCTCTTCAGATTGGACCCCAAATCTCTGGGGATAATGCGATGCACTAATAGATCTATCAATTCGCATATATCCGACGATCCGAATTTTGTAACTGGATACTCTTCCGAATATTCTTCTCGGGTTGGCTCCAGTTTTATTCACCTTGGGTGCTATGGCGACTTTTACATCTTCTGCCACCATTTGGCCTCTTCATGCGATTCTATGTCAGTGGACAAAAGAGCAATGTTGACATATCACTTGTGTTACTTTTTCGGCTCATGCTCCGGCCTTCTCTTACTATACATGGATGGCCTCTTCGTCGCAAATCCCCTCACAAAGAGGTTTCGACGTTTGAATCACTCTGGCTCAAAGCTTCTGTCTCACGTATTTGGTGCTACTGTTCCTTTTTATGACGCTTTACAAGAGAACAAAGCTCGTATAGAGAGAAAGATCTGTCTTGGTTTCGTGGTAAGTCCCACCAAAGGTTTCAAGATCGTATGCATACTCGAGATGGAAACGGTGTACGGATTCGAGATCAGTGACGGAGATTCATGGAGGTTATCGGAGACAACCATCACCACTAGCTCAAAAAGCGAACTCGCGACATGGATAAAACCTGTTTACTTGGACGGCACTCTTCACTGGTTGAGAAACGACGGGGGTATCATAGCTTTCAATCCTGAGACAGAGCAAGCAAGCTTCGTTCCTTCCATATTCCATCGTGGAGAACCGGATACGAAGCTTCTTTTCGCGGAAGATAGTAAGAAGAATTGCCTGATCTTAGTATCGGGGACGAAGGAAACAATCTCAGTTTACACACTAGTCAAGAATTCCAAATGGGACCTCACCAGGCAGATCGCGAACGTATATATGAACGAAGGAGAGCTTTTACACTGGCATTTGGTTATGTGCGACGGCAAGTGTCTTGTGGTGAGGGAGATGAAGAATATTACTTGTTATGGTGTGGTTCATGTGTACGACTTGGAAGCTAACACTTGGGGAGTTTCAGGGTCGACCCAAGCTTATGGCAGTAGGACCATAGACTTCTATAAGTTTACACCCTCCTTGGTCTTTGTCGAGGGAGATGAGCAGGAGATTATAGCTTCTACTAGCAAACTCATAATCTCTAATCTCACTGCGGTTATGGGACTCATTGATAGAACCTAAGTATCGCATGCTTTTTTAATTATGTTGGGTCAATAGAGCAAAGTGTCCCGATTTGTACGAGTGTTTGTTTCCCATATGCAATAATTTAAAGGTCTAAAATCAGTTGTAACTTGTAACAGATCATATATATTATACCAAAAGCTGATGAGATTAGTTTATGCATGTTTTTAATTTTAATGAATATATCAGGGCATTTGTATAAAAAAGATTGTGTATATAGATATAACACAAAGATTCTAAATTAAGAATAAAAAGTTATTGTTGTGTGAAAGAAAAGCAAGAGATTCCTACAATACCAATAGGTAATGACTATGTTTTCGCAGAATGAAATTGATCCCAGATTGTACTATGCCACATCATATAAAAGAACTTCAGTTCTATTTCATTTCCTTTTATTACAAACTGAAACCTCGAATTGCTTCTAAAGACTTGAATGGTATGCAATATGCATTATGCAAGAATACCTTGTGCGTTAATTAACGTTGTTTACCTTGCTTGCAGCATCATTCGTGACTTCTAGATGGATGATCAGCAAAGAACAAAATCTGCAAAAAAAAAAAAAGTAAAAAGATATCTCAATATCAAGACAATGCACTCTGATGAATCACCAACTAAAGTCAAGCTTACTTTGCTCATAAACTGGACGTTTGATGACACAGTAGCCATGACTTGCACTCCAAGGCAGGTGTTTGGGACTCTACAAAAAGGGCAAAAGATCGTCATTTTGGGATCTTGATTCGGTACTACCAAACCCAAATTCAATTCTTCTTGTGATCCGCGGGTCTAGTATAGTAGTATTAGTAGCATTGCTGCTTTCTTCTTCAAGGTCAATGATGACTGGAGAGGTATGGAACTTTCTTCTCTTCAAAGCATGGGAATTAACACTCATGTTCAAAGGTGACTCTGCTTCTAGAATCGAACTACGGGTATCACCAATAGAGTATCTCTCTGGAGTTACTATTACAGAGGAGGAGGTCTTCTGAAATTTGCAGTAGATAAATGCCGTTTTAAGAATCGATCAGGAGACCTCAGAGATCTCAGACCTGTTGCTAGGCTAGAGCTTTCATTCTTCGAGCTAGAACATGGACTGGCTGCTGAAATGCCTGAGGTTTCCTTTTCTGGATCTTCATTGCTTTGGTTTTCAGGGGACAAGTTCTGCTCATGGGACTCTAATATCTTAATGTCAACTATCTCCTGCATGCAATTCTCAAAGAATATTAATGATTATGTATGCAATATAGTTTCAAGAGAAATAAGAGGAATGAGATTTTTTAAAACCTTGACAATGTGGAATAAAAGGTCTTAGTCCTTCCACAGAAGCTTCAAAATTATCATACACTTTGATAGATTGCCTTAGTCACTTTGAAATAGACGCTCTGTTCCTTGGTTGTCGGTATCACTCATCTAAACATCAAAACAAGGCAACCTCAAAGCTATCATAACTGAATTGAAAACATAATGTTTCAATAGATATTGAAGTCTTATAACTACCTAAGAATATGATGGCACCATAATCAAACCTATGCCGGATACATCGTCCTGCTGCTTGATTTAAAGCATGATACGCCTGTTGGCAATACCACTCACTCCCTCCAAGGTTTTTAGATGATTTGTTGGTATCCTTATATTTTCTCTTTAGTTCGACTACCTGGCAAGAAAGTGATTCGTTAGAAAAACTGTTACCTCCCCCGAGAAGATTTCAAACGAAACTGAAAGATTTTAAAGGGAAATAGAATTCTTACAAGTTTGGAAATGGAATGCCAACAATCATCTGTGCGCAATCATCAAGCCCTTCTGAAACCTGAGAGAAACATGTAGAATTTAAACTCAAATCATGTCATTCTTTAAATAAACATCAATTACAGAAAAAAACAAACCTTTCCCCTACACACTGCAAGAAATGCAGATCCTTTCTTGGAATCATCTTGAGCCTCAGTTAGAAAAGACCATGCTTTCTTAACTCTGCTATTTCTTCCAACTAATCTGTTCTTTCCAACTACCCGGACCACTGGAGATTGAACCAGCCCATATGTGGAACAATTATATTGTTAAACCATACATTCAGTTCTTGAAACTGTTGCAAAGTGGAGAGCTTTAGTCAGAACCTGCATATTAGGATCAATCACATGTGGAGCCTCTAAACAAGTGCTAAAATGCATCCTAAGTTCAGACGAGAAAGAATTTATCGTAACAAAGTCCAATATTTAACAACCAAGAAGGAGATGGATCAAGAAACATTTAGCAAATCACTAGCTAGATATGACATAACTCTTTGCAGAAGCAATAGTAAGCAACAGGGTACTACTGCTTACCCAGATGTTAAAATGATGGATAACGAAAGATCAGCTAAGTCTTTGAAAACAACAGACGGATTCATTCACCACAAACTGAAAATATGCGTCCACCCATTATCTCCAGCATCCCATTAAAGCAACAATGAACACCTTTTGTTTTTGAAAAAATGGGTGAAGGTTTCACACATTTTCGGCTAAATATCTATATAGAACTTAGAGAAATAGTGCTCAGAATCACGTTTTGCTAGTGAATCCCTTTTTCTTCCAAATCCAGCTTATCAATCCCTAAAAACATAGAACAGTTAATTTTAAAAAGTAGACAACAAAGCTACCTCTTAATATGATCTTGCAGATAAATGACTTACCTCTACTACTTCATACAAGGATCCATATATCTCTGGCGCATCCACACTCATCTGCTCTGGTTCATTGTTCAATTCTGCATAACACATAAGCCACATTAGTAAAGTATATTTCAGTGAGCAAAACTCGTGTTTGAGTAGTACTTACTGAAAAGAATATCTTCTTCCAAGTTTAAGGAACACAATTACATGGTTTGCATAAGATAACAACAATAGAGGAAAAACAAAGAACTTAGATTATCAGGGAAAAACTCACTGATACTCAGCACATTTTATGTTTTTCTTATCTTTTAGGAGCAACAGACTAGAAAAGAGAATAGATGTGAGTACAGAGGTTTTATGATGATGAGATGAAAATGATAATGAGATGGTGTGAATATGGATGCAAATTTACCATTTTTCGTCAGCATTCTCTTTCCCCTGTACATGACTATTGGTGCAGTAACGTTTCCTTGAAACCTAACACAATGAAGATGGACCAATGGACCAAAAAGAAACAATGTTAATGAGGTAGCTGCAAACAAAACATGAATAAAACAAGATCCTCAAAAGAGAGCAAGACCGAGTTTTGACATACCAATACAGTCATAGGAACTCTGTAACCGGTTTTCCGATACTCAAGAATGACTTGAGTGATCTGAGCGTGAGTTCGCCTAAGAAAAAAACAAACAAACAATCTATAACAATAAGAAAAACACAACTATATTTGCAAAATTTTCAAAAACTAATGATGTAATAATGCTTACGAAGCATAGTATATGGTAGGGATTGCTGGTTCAGGAGGCTCCACATTGCTAGAGGCAGCAGTATCTGTTCAGAGATATAACCACTAATTAACAACTAATACACTAATTAATCTTCCCAGTCATAGATGCAATTTCATTAGGGTCATGACGAACCTGAGGGCTGCGTTTTCGAATGAGACAAATTTCCATTTGGAAACCGCGATTTATAGCTCTTTTGCCAAGGGAGAACGGAGCAGAGCAAAGACAGAGATTTGCCTGTATTCGTGGGAGACTCGAGCAACGTGTGGGAGTGACCATATCTTTGGGCACGATAAAGCGTAGATATGACTCGGCTCATGAACGCAAGATGGGTTCCGTAGGGTTGATAAGAGACTTCAATATCCGATCATTTAGATAGCTTTCAATTTAACATATAGTGTCATCTACAACAAAGGCGGGAGAGGTGGATATAAGTTTCTTCTCTCAGGCATTTCATCAAACATCTTTGATGCATTTTCTAATGATTAACTTGATATATACTAGAATCAATCATTCCTCTAATTATACGAGTTGTTCTGTTCTCATGTTCAAACTACACATCAAGTTGTTCTGTCCTCAAGTTCAAACTACACATCAGATTCTTATACACTTAGACACAGCATACCAGAAGTTATCAACAAGAAAACTTACCTATGAAGTTCAGAGATCAAGTGTATCCCATCACCTGCTCTCTCTCCCATCTCTTTGGGACCATAAGTTCTAATCCTAACTCAGAAAAAGACTGTAATCAATTCAAGCAATAGCACTACACAAACATCAAAAAACCTTAATTTAATTGAACAATGGATATAATTGAACATCAAAAGACTACAAAGCAAAGCAGGTCCGTACCGGACTAGTGAGCCAGATGAGTGATTTGGACAAATGTGTCCCGTGTGTCCTTTGAGTTATGACTAAAATGTTGGAATCTCAAGTCATGCGTTAGCATTGTGACATTTTGATCTTATAATGTTACCGAATAATAATGGCTATATATGCCTAAATAAATTAAAATAAAACACACGACCAACAAACTGCCACCTCATCATCTTCATCTCCAACGTGTTTTGTTTAACGTCTTGGTTTCAATCTTACTCAGATTAGTAAAAGTATTTTCGAAGTGGTTCCACATACAAATGAATCCTCCTTACTCAATCAGCACTAGCTAGAGCCAATAGAATCGGACTACCCCAAAGCTAAGCCAAGACCAAAGAGTAGTTGGATTTGAGTTTTAAACTTGTGTGCTACTAGTAAACCACTTGTTGTATTTTCTTAGTATAGTAAAAATAATTCTGAATGGTTCCCACATAGACAAGAGTTCTCCTTACTCAATCCGAAAAAAGCTATAGAACAAAAGTGGAACAATTGGAGAAGTGTTGAAACAATGTGTCTTCCATATTACTTAGTATAGCAAGTTTATGCTACTAGAAGCCACTTAACATACATGAATCTGTAAAAGTAAATAGCGACACATAGACACGGCTTCTGGTGGTTAGTAATGGAAGAGAGAATATGTATGATGGTGACAGAAAACAGCAAAAGGTATATCCAAAAATGGATAAAGAAGCTCTTAAGCGCGTTCGTGGAACTTACGTTGGAAGAAGTTGACAAGTAAAGAAAAAAGTAGAGCATAGTTGAATCATCTCTTGGCTATAAAAAGAGAGGGGGTCACATAACAAAATCACAACAAAAGAGAAGAAACACAGAGCAACATAATCACTTTGAAAAAAAGAGAGATAAAGAATGGGGATCATAGCATTCGACTGGGCAGAAAACCGCCTCACCGTTCTTCAGAACAGAGACGAACAGGAATCGAGGCAAGTGGTTTTTATTGATCTTTTTTTGTTTGCACAATAAGAATCTCTGAGTATTTATTTGATTTTGCTTTTCTTTTAAAAGGAACGTAAATGAGGCTGCTTGGCTTGAGAACGGCAACATTTTGGCGGGTCTGGGCAATCCAGACGGAGGGACTTGGCTGGGATGCTCGAAAACAGGCCGAGTCGCCTTTCTGTTGGACTCAATTCCATGGCCTCGTCACCCGACTCGCCGCGGGGAACATCTTACATTGGACTTCATAGAGGGAACCCGTACGCCCGACCAGTTCGCCGAAGATGTCATCCGCATGCAGAACAAAGGCCTCGCATTCCATCTTGTTGTTGCTGACGTATTCGGTACAAAATCCTTGGTATATATTTGCAAGAAAAGGAGGGACAGCGATCATGTTACTAAGACACATGTGCCTTACGGTGTCCACACCATCACGACTAATGGAATCGACAAGGTAACGCTAGAAATTTATATTACTATCATGAATTAAATCTAACCCTCGTTTTGTTTCCTATTTAGGGAGAAGAAGTCAGACGCAAGTTCGCCGCGGTTACGGAATGGACTCACAGCCAAAGCCTCGAGCTACCAATGGAATTGAGTCTCCGCCAAATCATCCTCGAGCTACCAAATGTTCAGCGTACGATGAACCGCCTCCAGGGTATAAAAACTCCTGACGATCACGACCCTATTGATCTTACCTCCTTCTTTAAGGTAAGAATATCGATCGATCACTTAGTCAGAGATCACGTAATGTGCAATATTGATGTTCTCTTCTTTTGTTTCTTCGTCAGAGGGATGGTCCCCTGCAGACCAATTGTTCCACAGTTGTCGTTGTGGTACCCCGTGCTGCCGGTGGCGGTGGGCGATGTATCTTCCATGAGAAGTACATGCGGAATCATCGTAAGTGGGACGAGAAATGCTTCTTCTTCGACATGGCTCCTAATGCCTAATTGCTCAGGCGGTATTATGAATTATTCATATTTTTATCCTACAAAAAATTTATGCTGAGATTACATCTCTTTGTCGTCACACTTAGTATTAAATATCTTTTATCATCTAATTAAGAACAATTATGCTATAGATCATACCATGTAAATAAAGGGAATAAGACTTGGTTTATACTTTCTTATGTTGTCTTAAATATGCTATTATTATCACACAAATCACCAAATATATAAACAATTTAAAATAAATTAGTGTTAATATGGAGCCATTAAAAAAACCTTTGCTATCCTCTTTACATTTTGGTATGCTAGCTCTTAATTTCACATGTCCATGATAAAAGTGATCAAGTTTTTGCGTATGAATATTACTTCAACTTGTGTCACAAGAAATCGCTTCTCTTTTATTTTGGTAAAGCTAAGTCTTAAATATGCTTCCACATTTACACGTAACTGATATCATTATACGACAAGATGAAAACAGATCACCTTGCTACTAGTCTCGGATTACCAAATCTAGCTAAGACCAAATTATAGGTGTATCTGAGTCTTAAACTTGTGTGCCACTAGAAACCACATTTGTATATTTTATTAGTATAGTACAAATATTTCTAAATGGTTCCACATAGACACAAGTCCTCCATCACTCAATCAGCAAAAAGCTAGCGCAAAAGTGGAACAGTTTGAGAAATATTAAAACAAAGTGTCTTCCATTGTACTTAGTATGGCACGTTGAGCTACTAGAAGCCACTTTTGTGGTTTTACATACATGAATCTGTAAAAGTAAATTGAATCTTATAGACACGGCTCCTCGTGGTTAGTCTATGGAAGAGAGAGTAATGATGGTGATAGAAAACAGCAAAAGCTATATCCAAAAATAGATAAAGAATCTCTTAAGCGCGTTGGGCTAGTTACGTGAAGAAGTTGAGAAGTAAAGGAAAAAGCAGAGCAAAGTAAATCATATATTGGCTATAAAAAGGCTATAAAAACAGAGGGAAGGGTCACAACACAAATCATTACAAGAACAACAGATTAAATAGCAAATAATACTTATATATTCTTTCAAAAAAAATGGGGATCGTAGCATTCCAATGGGGAGAGGGAGAAAACCAACTGACGCTGCTGCAAAACAGAGACAATTGGGATTCATGGCAAGTTTCATTTATTCAACCTTTTCAGCTTTTTGTGCATCTATGCATTGTTTTGTTGATAAGTAATTATGATATGTTTATTTTTATTCGAGTGATTAAAAGGGAAACAAAACCGGCTACTTGGGATGAAAGTAACCAGATACTGAGTGTTCTGCCTGTGCATAGCTTTGGGACATGGTTTGGTATTTCTAAACAAGGCCGACTTGTTTTTCTTGTGAATCCACCAAAGCTCAACAATCTTAGTCCTGTGTTGCGTCCTGTTGATTTCTTACTGGTATGATTAATGTTTTCCTTTTCCTTTCTTGTTTGTTTAAACAATTTGGATCTCACTGGATTTGCTTTGATTACAGCGTGAAATGAGTCCATGGGACTTTGCAAGGGAATGGTCTGAAAAATCCAATCTTGCCAAAATCATGAACAGAGGGATGACTTATCACATAGTTGTGGCAGATATAAAGTCAAAATCAATGGTTTATATCTCCAAAGGGTCTGCAAAGGATTCACATGTCCATACGGAAGAGGTTGGTTTTGGTGTGCATACCCTTTCTTCTTCCGGACTCGATATCCAATTTCCCGAGGTAATTCTACAGAACAATCTTGTAACACATCAAGATGTTAGTATATTCAAATCAAACACTCTTTTTTTTGGTGTACATGCAGTATTTACATCGTCTGAAAACCTTTTCCTGTGAGATCATGAGTGACATTAAGGACAAAGAAGTAACACCAATGAAGGAGCTTGCTGAGAGGTTTACCATGTATGATCCATTTGAAACTGACAAAGGAGAATCTGAAGACATATTTGTAAGAGAATTTGACAACGTTGATCAACCCTTAATATAATCCACACCTACATCAATCTCTTTTCTTTTTACTCTTTCGTTGGATTCAGGGGAAAGATAGACAGTATGAAATAACGAGTACAATAGCATTGGCGGTGAAACGCAATAAGGAAGTCATGTTCCATGAGAGGTTTTGGGAGAACAGCAAATGGAACCCCAACGACTTCACTTTCAACATCACCTAGTTACAATGAACTTTGCTGAGTATTATTGTTGGTACTCTAATATATTTTTCACAACACTATATCTCAAACGTCTAAGAACATATAGTAGTTGGTTCACTTTATATTTTCCATCTATTCAATTCCATAGTTTCTCTTTCACTTTTATAATCCATGTATGCTTCTCAATTCCAGTGAGAACTTGTTAATTTTGAAACTTATACGAGCAAGATTATCACAAGAAGTTAAACCTTCACGCTAATCATGTTGTAACAATTGGTAGATTATACATATAACCAGACAGCATAATATTATCCAAATCGACAAACAACAGAGATTAGGCTCTAATTCAGAAGATTAAAAAGAAAACTTATTGCAGAACAAATAATTCTCGAAATTAAGCTCTTTAACTTTAAAAAACTTAAAAAAATTCCAGACCTCAAATTTCCATTACTTAAACTCATAAGTTGGCACAGGAGGAGCATCAAAGCTCTCCAAAATGTGAGTTTTGCTCTCTGAATGATGATCCTCTGTTTCCTTCTTCTTCTTAAACAAACTTCCAAACCAAGATCCCGAACTAGCCTCCGAACCAGCTTCCGAACCAGAAGCAGAAGAAGTCTCCAGTACCGGTACGGGCTGACCAAATATCTGACCCATATTCACACCATAAGGTAACGAAGAAGCTGCATGTTCCTCCATGAACTGCTCGTTCTGCATAGCACTCTGAACTTTGTTCAACATGATACCAGCTCCTTCTATGAGAGCCAAAAACACACCTCCGACTAAAGCAGATCTAGAAGACGCGCCTAAGCCTTGACGTAACGAGAGGAATCCTCCAGTGGCTGCACCAGATAAGATCGAGTTCCATGGATCTTCCTTTTGTCTTGCGTACACCATAGCGCAATCAAAGGTTGAGAAAAGACCACCCCACACGGCGAAGCTTCCTCCCACTAGCGGCCCGTTCATTCTTATAGCTTGAACGCCGCCGGAGAGACGAGCTCCGGCGGGTGAGTTGTAGATTCCTTTGATTAGGTGAAACGCTGATCCACCAACAGCACCCATCCCAAACGCACTTCCCAAATCATCGAGGATACGATCCGGACATGGCTCTCTCGATGATTCTGGAGTTCCCATCGATTTTCGATTTTGATCTACAAGTAAATTTTTAGGGTTTTAAGAAAATAACCCTTGAATACGAAATTAAGAATGAGGAAAAATTACATAAAGGGAAAAATATCTTGTTGTTCACGTTATTTGACGATGGTCAAAGCCCATTAAGGCCCATTTGTATATACGCTTTATCATAATAAAATATAAATAAAAATGCCACGTCATTTAAGAAGAACCTTATCTTTATTTTAAACGTGGACAAACATTCTCCACCTCACAATGCCATGTCACGACATAGTATCTAAAACCAACCAATCACAACGCGTCTTTATAGATAACTTGTTTTTATGGAGTTAGCTTTTAGAGCCATTCATTGTCCCATCTCACTTTCTCTCTTTCACCACATAAAAACTCATATACCTCTATCGAACCAAAGCTAAACACGACCAAATCTTATCACTCTAAAGAATCTTTATCATGGCCTCAGTAACCTCAGCCACCGTCGCAATCCCATCTTTCACCGGCCTTAAAGCCTCAACCATCAAATCCTCTGCCACCGTCAGAATCCAGACTGCTGCTGTTGCATCACCGAAGCTCACAGTGAAGTCATCTCTAAAGAACTTCGGAGTAGCGGCCGTGGCGGCTGTAGCTTCAATTTCTTTGGCCGGAAACGCCATGGCAATAGAAGTTCTCTTGGGAGGAGGAGATGGGGCGTTAGCTTTTATTCCCAACGACTTCTCTGTAGCGAAAGGAGAGAAGATTGTGTTCAAGAACAATGCTGGATTCCCACACAATGTTGTCTTCGATGAAGACGAGATCCCAAGTGGCGTCGATGTGGCCAAGATCTCGATGGACGAGCAAGATCTACTTAACGCTGCCGGGGAGACGTACGAGGTCGCTTTGACCGAGCCTGGGACTTACAGCTTCTACTGTGCGCCACACCAGGGTGCTGGTATGGTCGGCAAAGTCACCGTTAACTAAAATGAATTTGTGAGTAAGTGAGAGAGTCTCGGACTCAAGTAGAGGCTCTTCTTTCACATTCTTACATTATTACATAAAGTATTTTGTAATTCTAAAGAGTGTTGAATCGAATGGACCGTGATTGTTGTAATGTGACTGGTTCCATAAATGATTTTCTTGGTTTATAAATTATATGTAGTTTTGTGTCTCGCCCTAAAGTTTCTTACGAATCTGATTAATCAAGTAGAAAAGAAAAATGTTTGAATAAGCGCTTCGCATAGGGGTAATTAGTTTGATAATGTAATCTATTGAAAAATAAATAAAATGACTATGGTGCTAAATGGGTTATTGGTAAATAAGAGGGGAGATTATTTTGTGCAGATTGACCAAATTATCTTAATGTGTACTCTGTGGGTTGGGATACTGTGTATTCTTACAACGTTATGCGGCTATAGATAAAATAGTATGTTATTGGATGAATTACTAATCGCATATCATGAATAAAAATGTGCATGATAGCATGTTTTTAGATTAAACAGTGTGTTATATCAGTGTTTGCGGGCAAATTTGTAATCGACTAAGTAATTGAAAATGAAAGGTTAGTTATTGCATATTCCTTATTTTTGACAAATCGAGAGTTGTGGAGCCGGTTGATCTAATGATCACCATCACAATTTCAAGAATAATTTGAATAACATTTTCTCGAAAATTAAATTGAGACTAAACCTTTTTCAATCATATAAAAAGCTAGCTAACACAAGTTACAAAATGTAAGAATGTGTATAAAGTCCAGCATCTCAACTCTCCTCTTTCCTAACTATAATGACTAGTGAGGTCAATCATCAAAAAAAAAAATTAGTGGCCCATTATAAACCATCGTAGTGATTGGGCTTGTAAGCCCACTACCATGTACAATAAGTTTTCAAGGGAAAATAAAAACTAATAGTCTCTTAAATATATGAATTAATTACGGATTTTGCCCTTTTTTATAATGACATTTATGGATTTTGCCCTTTTTTGAATAGTTTGTGGATTTTGTCCTTTTTTAGGCTCCAAAAATATGATTTAACATGCGTTTCATTCGTTATGTTTGAGTTTAATCGGTTCCATTTGTTCTTAGGGTTTAGTATTTGGTATAATGTACGTATTTTTGCAAAAAAAAATCATAAATACGTACATTTTTAAGTGTTAAAAAATGGCAAAATCCGTAAACTATTAAAAAAAGAGCATTTTCATAAGTTTTTCAAAAAAAAAAAAGGCATTTTAGACAATAATCCCTAAATATATTGGTCTATAGAAATTTGTAGTTTCTACATGAATTCGGCCGAGTCGGTTAGTGTCTTGTGGCATTCTTAAAGAAAAAAGCAAAAGTTTATTAGGGTGGGAAAATACAAAAAGAGTAGCAGTTCAGACATCAGAGATCCAAAGGGTTAAAAAAGGGAAAGAGCATCTTTGAGGTGGTGATATGGTCTGATTAGAAGCCAAACAAGAAAGCGACAAAAGATGAACGAGCGAGTCATACTCATATGAGTCGACTTTTTTTTGTAAAACAATTCGAAAGTCTCTTTATAAAAAAGAAGCTTCCACGTGATTTTCCTTTCTCTGGTCGGTACTCGTCTCTCATGTCCATTCATCAATTGTCCATTTTTTTCCTTTCTTGTTTAGTCAATCATCATAGATCGGTTTTTACTTTTCTACTTTCCAATCTTTCAAAAAAAAAAAAAAAAAAATCCGACTTGCTAGTGTTTCTATGAAGATATTTTTGAATTTCAACTTAAAATAACAAGCTAGATAATTATCAGCTAAACGTATTTTTTAAAAAATAGTTTAGGTGTACTTTGTCAGAAAAAAATCAAACTTAATTTATACATTACAAAATATGAGACCACATTTAAATTAGACAAACAATGCAAAAATCACAAAGATAAAATAAATCCAACAAAAGTACAGTTTAATGAGAGAATGAGAGTTTTGATCCATAGCCTAAGAAAAGAAGTGGATTCTACGATCAATGGTGATACAGATTGATGTTGCGTTAAAAAAAAATCGTGAAAAGTCTATGTGGTTGGCCTCTAAATGTGGTAGATTGATGATTGTAGTAAGAATAACTTGCTGATGATAGTGGCTAGCTGTTGATGTTACAACCACGGTAGGTAGATCTAAAGTGCTGCATTGGCTAAAACGGATGGAGGAATTGGCATGATTCTTGATGCTAAGGCTTGTCAAATTGCTTATGATAAGTTTGAATCTGGACAAGTTTATGTGGAATGGTGCAATTATATAATATATGGCTCAATTATATTAAGTATATTTTTATTCGTTAAAAGTAAAAATAAGATTAATGTCTGAACATACGGTAAAAGCGCAAGGAAAGGTCACATTGCATAATCTAATTTTTTTTTTCAATTATTGTAATTTTACGAGAGAAGCAGATTGTATGTACTCTACTTCCATCCCGTGTTCAAAAAATCGCTAGGCGCTAGTCGGGCGGTGAAGGTGCGCCTAGCGCCTAGCAAAGAAATTGGAGATTATACGGAAATTAATCGGGGATTAGTTTTAGGGCTATTTAATGTTTTTAAAACATATTAATCCATTATAAATAAGAAATTTATATAATCTTGTTTTTAAAATTGCATTAAACACATGAAAACAAGAATTTAAGGTCAAACTTATGATTTTTATACAAACTATGAATATAAGTAAGACGTTTTGAATTTTAGATCAAAAAAAAAAATGTAAAAAAAAAAAAAAAAAATTGGGCTAGGCGCCGTCTAGGCGGGCTAGGCGGACAAAAATCGGATCACCGATTTTTTTAACCGATTTGGACAAAATCGCCGCGGTCTCCTCCCGATCAGCGCCTAGGCGGCCGATTTTTAGAACAAGGCTTCCACCACACGTGATTCCCTCAAAGACGGCCTTACTTAGAAATTTGGCGTTACGCACCCTCACTCTAGGGACCTCACTTTTCTCTCTATCCATTTCATTTATTATTGTGCTTAATTTTTTGGTAGAAGATTAGTATTGAAAATTCCTTTGGAGACTTTCCAATAAATGTCTTTTAATGCAAAATTATTTCCAAGCGTTTCTATTAAATATACTAGCTTGACCCTGGCCAAATATTTAAAGTCAAAAGAGAAAATCTGGCTCTCTTCTCATAAATATTATGAATGCAACAAATAGCATTTACAAATACTTTCTGTAAAAATTTCCATCCCCTTTTTTCCATTACTGTTGGGTAAATTTCTTTGGCATCACATTTGACAAAAGAAGAAGCAAAAATTCTAATTGGCAAGGTAAAAAATAAATAATCAAATGGTAGTAGAATCATTGTATTAAATTTTCTTTATTTCAATTTTATTGTTCTTTTTAATATTCCTAATTTGGCTTGTAATTGCCATTTATTTTTTTATCTAGGCATTTATTATTTTTGAAAAAGTCTGTTTTTGAACTGGGTTTCAATAGTCAAATATAGATTCTCTATAGATTAAAAACTCTTAAAACTTTTTGTCATAAATCAGGCAAGAAGTAAAAGAGGCTTAAAACTCTCTCTCTCTCTCTCTCTCTCTCTCTCCTCACTCTTAACGAAAAATGGACTCTCTAACACTCTTCTTCACCGGCGCTCTCGTCGCCGTCGGCATCTACTGGTTCCTCTGCGTCCTCGGTCCAGCAGAGCGAAAAGGCAAACGAGCCGTAGATCTCTCCGGCGGCTCAATCTCCGCCGAGAAAGTCCAAGACAACTACAAACAATACTGGTCTTTCTTCCGCCGTCCAAAAGAAATCGAAACCGCCGAGAAAGTTCCAGACTTCGTCGACACATTCTACAATCTCGTCACCGACATCTACGAGTGGGGATGGGGACAATCCTTCCACTTCTCACCATCAATCCCCGGAAAATCTCACAAAGACGCCACGCGCCTCCACGAAGAGATGGCCGTAGATCTGATCCAAGTGAAACCGGGTCAAAAGATCCTAGACGTCGGATGCGGCGTCGGCGGTCCGATGCGAGCGATTGCATCTCACTCGCGAGCTAACGTAGTTGGGATTACGATAAACGAGTATCAGGTGAACAGAGCGCGTCTCCACAATAAGAAAGCTGGACTCGACGCGCTTTGCGAGGTCGTGTGTGGTAACTTCCTCCAGATGCCGTTCGATGACAACAGTTTCGATGGTGCTTATTCGATCGAAGCCACGTGTCACGCACCGAAGTTAGAAGAAGTGTACGCAGAGATCTACAGGGTGTTGAAACCCGGATCTATGTATGTGTCCTACGAGTGGGTAACGACGGAGAAATTTAAGGCGGAGGATGATGAACACGTGGAGGTAATCCAAGGGATCGAGAGAGGAGATGCGTTACCTGGGCTTAGGGCTTACGTGGATATTGCTGAGACTGCTAAAAAGGTTGGGTTTGAGATAGTGAAGGAGAAGGATCTGGCGAGTCCACCGGCTAAGCCATGGTGGACTAGGCTTAAGATGGGTAGGCTTGCTTATTGGAGGAATCACATTGTGGTTCAGATTTTGTCTGCTGTTGGAGTTGCTCCTAAAGGAACTGTTGATGTTCATGAGATGTTGTTTAAGACTGCTGATTATTTGACCAGAGGAGGTGAAACCGGAATATTCTCTCCGATGCATATGATTCTCTGCAGAAAACCGGAATCTTCATCGCCGCCGCCGGAGGAGAGTTCTTGAAAAAGGTAGGAAAAAACACCTCCGGAGTATGGAGAATTGTCTCAATTTGTTTTTATTTTATTTTTAAGTTAAATGAACTTGGTTATTGTACTCTTTTTTGTGTTTAATTTTAATTTGGTTTGTGTTTTAAGAATTTCTAGTTTTTTTTTATTATTAATAAGAATCTTACTCTTGATTTATCCGCCGGAAGCGTAGAGCCGGCGATACATGGGGGATGATTAGTATTTTTAAGTGTGTTAAGATTTAAGATTAATTAACAAGTTACAAGTGTTGATTAGTAAATTAGAATGTACTTAGGTGTCGACAGCCTGTGTAAGGTGTACCTACTGACTGATGTGAGTGAGTGTCTGAATTTCAGTTATGGTCTGTGGGTTAAAAAACTAATTTTGGTTAATTAATTTAAAGAAAATCAGTGTCGCGAGTCGCGACAAGAAATAAAAAGAAGCTTTTTAGGTTTGTCGCACGGAGTTGGTGGTGGGAGAGTGCAGTGGAGACGCATGCGTGGTTATTTTGAATTATTGCTACGTATTATATAGAGAATTATAAAAGTCTGATGCGTTTTGGTTTAGTTGTTTTCTAATTCACGTGATTCTTTCCTAGTTACGATTGGATCCGATAAAAATATCACAAAACATTTATTTCTCCTCTTTTGTATCTTCCAATTTTGGCCAACTCAGTGCATAGATAGATATAGTGTCTGACTCATTTTTTTGAGTGTCATGATCTGATTCCAGATCGTGATGATTCACATTGAAAATGACAGGGGGAGATTTAGAAAAAAAGTTTCAAATATCAGTGTCTTATCTGATAGGTCCTTTGTGGTATGATCTGGATTTTGACAATGATATTTCGAAATGAAATCACAATTCCTTAATTTTGATGGAGATGCATATAGAAAAAGAGTTACTACTATATTGTTGGATGTAGGGTTATTAGCTAGTACTAATAGATTCAGGATTCGTCATTATGAAAAGTGTGTATAACTTCACTTACATACTATGTGAAGCAAAAAAAAAAACTAAGCAAACAATTAATCAACACATAGCCAATTCAACTGTCTCTAGATCTCGTTCTACGGCAGAAGCAGAATATTAATAGAAAGAATACAGTATCAACTGCCTCACTTTATATATATCTTGTCGTCTACATCTGTCTATCTGGCCACCAATCCGGTCAACATCAACAAACTAAGCATATCGAGTTTGGCATACACTTTTTTTTTTTAGTTTGGCATACACTTTTTTTGAGAAACATCTGCAATCGGGCAAGTCAGCTATTGTCTCTTCAAAATGATATAAGGTTTCATGATTTTTGGAAATAAAAATAAATGTATGTTTTGAACTTGCAAGTTTAGCATACAATTAAAATCACAAAAAATTATGGAACTAATACATGTACATGAGAGAAGGCTAGTCTGATGAGAGTGATAACACATGCCTTCTGTGATAAGTGTCACATACGTTTAGGGTACAAAGGAAGACAAACTACACCATTGATCATTAGTTTATGTCTTTTCATCTCTCAAATATATGCAAACAAAATTCCACCATTATACATAAGTATTGATTCTTGAATTTAATTTCCGATATACTCATCGAATGTAAAGAAAATGAGATAACAAAGATATATCTAAAATAATTGAATATTTCATATGAAAAAACTTTCATGTTCCTCTGTTTTTTTTTTTTTTTTTCCCTGCAGCCATTTTAACGACAAACAAATTGAGCAATTCATAATTCCTCTATTATTATTTTTTCTTAAGACAAATGGGATTCATGATCAAAAGTGTGTTGTTAAAAATACATATTAGCTTCCCAGAGCATATTAAACTACAAATTAGCGGGGAAAAAAATACTAAAAACTGACATTTTGCTAAATTGCATTTAAATATTTTAAGACATATTATCAAATTTATAAAATCATTAATCAATTAGTTTTAACTAGTGTTCTAAAAAGCGGTCTAGGCGGTCGCCTAGGCCCCGACTAGGCGCTAGGCTCTCATTCGACGCCTAGATAACCGCCTTGACCGCCTAAAATTACATAGATCTTGTTTAATGTATTTTTTCAATTTCAATTAGAGTTTTATATATATATATATATATATATATATAGTTATAAATATTCATATATTGTTTAATATAAATATAAATAAATATTTTATCTAGTTTTTGTTTATAATTTCATAATTTTTAGTTTTATATTAATATTTTATATAACTTTTATATATAATATCATATTTATAATGTTGTATTATGTTATAAACGTCTAAACCGCCTAAAAAATCGTCTAGGCCCCGATTAGGCGTTCTAGGCGCTAGGCACTGAGTCACCGCCCGCTTAGCGCCTAGCGCTTTCTTGAACACTGGTTTTAAGTTTTTAACACGTTACTTGATATCTATTTATATTCCATCAAAATAATGGAAAAATAACTTAGAATAAAACTTTAATATGTAATCGTTGAACGGATCCCACATCGGTTAAGTTAAGAATCAAAAGGCTAAGCCAAACTTTTGTTTCAGACAAAGGAGTCCCACATCGCTTGAGAAACAGAAGGGTAAGCAAAATCTTCTTTTATAAATAAAGGTGTCTCTACGCCAAAACGAGGTTTGCATAGTTTCTCTCTTTCTTCAGACTATCGATGTCTTTGATTGAAAACTCTTGTCTAGAACCAGAATCCAAAAGGGCAATATTAAACTGCGGTCACTTCTTCGTCCGTTACGGAATCTGCTGTAACTGCAGATCGAAGGTAGATAGAGAGTACGGGCGAGCATTCGACTATCTCGTCCATGGTTTACAATTAAGCCACAAAGCCGTTGCGGTTACAAAGAGCCTTACTACACAGTTGGCTTGTCTTAACGAGAGAAAGCTTCATGTAGTCCTTGACTTGGACCACACGCTTCTCCATTCTGTTATGGTTTCACGGCTTTCTGAAGGAGAGAAGTATCTGTTGAGAGAATCAGATTTAAGGGAAGATCTTTGGACACTCGACAGAGAGATGTTGATTAAACTTCGACCTTTTGTTCACGAGTTTCTGAATGAAGCCAACGAGTTTTTCTCCATGTATGTCTACACGATGGGGAATCGTGACTACGCTCAGGCTGTGTTGAAGTTGATTGATCCGAAGAAAGTATACTTTGGGGATAGGGTCATAACCAGAGACGAGAGTGGTTTTTCGAAGACGCTTGATCTTGTGTTGGCTGATGAGTGTGGGGTTGTGATTGTGGATGACACTCGGCATGTTTGGCCTGATCATGAGAGGAATCTGCTGCAGATCACCAAGTACAGTTACTTCAGAGATTATAATCAGGAGGATTCAAAATCTTACGCAGAGGAGAAGAGAGACGAGAGTAGGAGCCAGGGATCATTAGCGAATGTTTTGAAAGTTCTCAAAAAAATTCACCAAGAATTCTTCAGCGGCGGAATTGAGAAATTAGATTCAAAGGACGTAAGGCTGTTGCTACAGGAACAACACATAGCAATTTAAATCAATATTTGCTCCCAAAACCTAAGCCACCATAAACAAATTTCCCCTTTTATATCAGGACGGTAACAAGCATTAGAAGGTTAAATTTTACGAGTTCCAATTAATGGAGTTAGATACTAGCATAGGTACTGGAAGTGGAACCTTACGTATTCATCGTCGGAGGAACATTGCTTGGTTTGCATTTGATAGATGACGAAGACTTAATTATGCGCCGGGGGTTCCAGTACGTAAGGAATCTGGTAAAATGTGGCAGACGCTAGTTAGAAATACATTTACTGTTAAAGTCTTGACGTATATATGTTATGCAAACATAAGTAGAGTAATACTTGTGTAATAGTGGTTGAGAAAATTTTAAAAAGTTGTGTTTAATATATCATCTTGCGTCTCATCAAAGAAAAGACTGAACTTATTACATTAATATTTTGTTTTGCTAATGATATTTGTGAAAATTCTCCAATATATAGACTATATAAACGACTAGGATTTGATGATTCTAATTCTAACGTATCCCTCAAGGGGTTAAGGCAATAATTAATAGAGAGTACAATAGATGTCAAGTTTGATCAAATGTTATATAGGAGGTGGTGGGGAGTGACATCCCCTTGGCTTTTTAGTTATGTTGTTGTTCTCATTGTCTTCTTCCACAAGTGAATTTGAGAACTCATAGGACAAGACTTTGATCCATAACCTTTCTGATCATCTTGACCACCAAAAACCTTAATGAACATTGTCAAAGTATGGTCTTTTTAATTGTGTCCGGTTTTGTTATGTGTCTAGAGATGGAGAGGTAAGAGAGTGTGTATATAGATATCATCTGCAATCGCTAACTAGTTGTGGTAACATATGTAGATGTTTCGCTTCAAAACTCGGAATCATATGCCTCTGGATATATTTCAGATCCCCCGTCATCACATCCAGACAAAAAATGCTATTTATAAAAGTCTAGACCAAAGACAAAAAAACGTTTTGATCTATTCACACTTTGAATTATTTATGTCTTTAATTTCTGTCTATTCACAAAACTCAGACTTAGTATTACGTAGTAACGTGTCATCGTGGCAGACACGAAATTCCGACACATAAAGCAAATATACATTGAAAAGCAACGAAGAAAATTCAAGCAGTAGCTTTTTACTTCATTACTTGAAGTCGTTTTGGTCGATCCATGGTTCTTCTCCTCCACAAATTAACTTCACTTTTTGGTTTCGGACATAAACTCAAACCCTCTAGCTGAGTCAGAGGCATACTCACAGAGCATGGAATCGTTACTTCTTCTTCGTCACCGGAATAGAAACCTCTGCGATGATCCGACTGTGACTGCTCACGTTTCATCTGGACCGTCCAATCGAATCCACCGAGAGCTTCTCTACTGCTCGCGAATTTCTTCATTTTACCCAATGAAGGCGCTGCCGTGACCGCTTCAACCGCCGCGACCGGATGTTCTCTCGCTGCGGCGGTGGAGTTGGATTTTCCCGACGGATAACTTCTCGTTGAGAAGAGACGCTTTAGTTTCGAAAAGCTTCCATTGTCTTCTTCTCTAATAACACAAGATGATAAAGACGACGCCGCTTTGAGATTCTTAGGTGCTTTGATTTTCGTCTCCGGACATTTAGGTTTAGCCAGTTTGACCTGACCGATGCAGGAGACTTTAGGCGAAGTGGGTTCGGCAAAAACGGCTTCGTTTTTGGTACTTCTCCTAACTCTAGCCGCCGTTGGAACCAACGGACTAGAGAAGAAATATCCTCTGTTCGCCGTCGAAGTCGTACGGTACTGATGAAAATCTCTCCCTGGACTAAACGGCGCCGCACTGTGACCAATTGACAACGCTCTTTGAAGCATTTTCGAGAACTTCGCGGACTTGTTGTTGTTTGAAGCTTTTTCCATTTATTCTTAAAAAGTTAAACAGAGATTCTTGGTTTTATATCGTCTGTTGTGTCTGAAACTTCTGAGAAAGCGAGGGAGGATAAAAGAAGAACAAGATTGAAATTGTCAACGGTGATGACGTCATGGAGAAAGTTTTGGTCAAAGCTGAGCTAAACCGGAGAAGGCTTATGTCATTATCAGACAATTTGGACTTTAACCGGAGAAAACATTTATGTCTTATAGACGTATACGGCCGACTTTGTCCCGGTTTAGAAAATTTAATGGTGAAGTGTACTTATGTTTGGTTTACAATTTTCCTTATTGTTTAGGTTTGTCTTCGTCTTTTACGCGGATTAGTTTAATTGTTTATTTGACTTTTAGTCCCACATGTGTTGTGCTTGGACAATAGATTATACTCATTATTAAGCCACCTGATTTATATGCTTAATTGTGTGGGATTAATTTATCATAATAATTAGTCCATGAACAGCTGGTAAACCGATAATTAATTGGATTGAAAGCGACGTATAAAGTGAACACTTGTCCTTTTGGCTTTTGGTCAATAAACGACAAAGTGTGTAATGATATAATAGGTCACATAACATATCGTCCGTCGATACTCAATACCATTAACAATTTTATTACATTTTGACATTGAACGTTGAGAACTACTTCTTCTTTTTAGTCTTCCCTTGTTAAATGCTGTTTTACATTTTTCTTTCCTTATTTCATGACAAACCATTGTATATGTACACACACATTAAAGCGAAAGATTCATTTTCAATTTTGTCTAAAATTCAAACAAATAGTTTTAAAATTCAAACAAATAGTTTTTCCTTACTTTCTCTATTTTACAAAAAAAAATCTAGAAGATGTATGGGACAAATTATGAAGAGAAGTTAAAGTATGGAAGTTGAAACATAACTTCAGCCAAATTTATCCTTTGTTTCAAAAAATTATGATATAACACACATGATGCAAGTATAACAACATAGTAGAAAACGACAGTTTGGTTATGATTATGGTCGATGAAATTTAAACGGATTGAATAGTACTTATTATAAAATAATTAAAATCAACTGTAAAGAACAAAATATTTTTCTTAAAAAAAGTATTCACTACATCAATATAAAAATAGCAAGATGCTACCGATCAAAGCCAACATCTCAACCAGATTATTTGGCCTCATTACTGTTTAATCGCTGTCTTGAACATATTTCTACATCTACTGAGAAAACATGATTTTTGTCGTGTGTTCTGCTGAGAGAGCTTGATAGGCTCAAGAATTTGGGAGTTATCATCATGGTCCCATGAATACCAGAAAAGTTGCATTCCTGAGAAAATGAAGAAAATCTTGCCGAAAAAAGAGTACATGGTACAATAATCTTCTTGATAACAAGTGTTGTACCCAAAACAAAGTTACAATCTGATTGCTTTAAAATATCCTTAAAATATTCCTGAGAATAAAGAGCTTATTCTTTGATGCTTGGAAGGTTCCTAGTTCCTATAATGGCCGAGTAACAAGTCCCTTCTGAATCATCTTCTCCACCAGCTCTTCATGCTTCTTCAATTGCCCAGCTCTTCTTAACTGAGCAAGAACCATCTCATATAAAGACAAGCTCGGTGTCAAACACTTCTCTTCAACCATTTCTTTAAACAATTTATAAGCATTATTCCAATGTCCCATCCCACAAAACATCGTAACCAAAAGCCTATAGGTATTCACATTTGGTTCAACTTCTTTATCATCCATATCCTTCTTCATCTTCAGAACCATATCAGTAGATTTCGACCCGGCAAACATCCTCATCAGAATATTATAAGTCACCGTATTCGGCTCACATTTTGCTTCCATCATCTTCGAATACATCCTATGGGCGCCATTCACATCTCTCTTCTTCTCGATGTACCTAAATATCGTATTGAAAGTCGAAGCATTCACTTCACACTTTTTCTTGATCATCGTGTTCAAAACCTTGACCGCGTTTTCCAGGTTCTCGTCTCTGCAATGAGTCTCAATGAGGAAGTTATACGTAATAGTATCAGGCTCGCATCCTAGCTTCTTCATCTGGTTATAAACCTGCAAAACCTTCTCTGGTCTTCCTGCTTTCACATGAACCCTCATCAAGTTATTGAAAGTAATCGCATTCGGAGCACAACCCGAATCTAACATATCCGCGAAAACATCATGCGCACGGCTGATTTGCCCGCATCTACACAAGGCATCGATCACAATGCTGTAAGTATACACATTCGGTTCAATCCCAGCCAATTTCATATCCTTGAACACTTTCTCTGCCTCAGAGATTTCACCAGCTCTACACCACCCACGAACTAAATTGGTGTAAACTATAACATCAGGCTCGAACCTATCTTTCAAACTATCGAAAAACGACTGAGCTTCACTAGCTCTCCTCTTTCTAGAAAGGTTACTAATAACTATCGAAAACGCGATTTGATCAGGAACGCAACCGTAATCTTCCATACGATTAAAGCAATGTACAGCCTCTGAAGCTAAACCAGCTCTAACATAACGTCTAATCAAAATCGTGAAGGTCTCAATCGAAATCTCGACGTTTCTCGATTTCATGAGATCAATCAAATGCCAAGCTAAGTCAAATTGTCTAACCTTTCCTGCAAGATCGATCATTTCGTTGTAAGGATGAGGCGATTTTTGGTCGTAATCGTCTCGTGAAGTGGCCCAATTGAAGAAAGCTAGAGATTGGTGAAGAGGGATTCCATGGCGGACACTGCCGCACTTCTCTATCACGCATCGCACGACGGAGGGAGAGATTCGAGAAGCATCGATTTGGGAGAAATCGAGGGAGAGAGCAGGGAGGGTTAAGCTAGGGTTTAAGACGGCGTCGTTGGGGTTTGTAGGGTTTTTGCGATAGTGGTCTTTGATGATTGAATGGAACTTTTCTACGGTTTGTGTATCTTCTGGAGTTAACAGAGATGAGACTGGGACAGAGACGACGCCGGTTACGGTGGCGGCGGATTCGTCGTTTTCATGGTCATTGAGTAGAGAAGTTGGGGAGGTGGAGAAGGGTTTTGGTAGACGAGGAGAGATGAAGGAAAGGGTTCGAGAAAGATGGAGTTTTGATCGGAGTAACGCCATTAATGGAAGATTTTGGTCACTCTCTTCTAAATGTCGAACGGAGCAGAGTGGCGATGGTGAAGAAGGAGGAAGAGAGTTATTGAAAAGGTCAAATTTGCTTTGCTTTCCAAATGAAAGCTGAAGTGTCGTCGTTTTGATATATCCCTATGTATTTATTCTCTGTTAATTTTGTCAATTCATGGATTTGAAGCTATTAGTATTACCCCATAGTCGGCGTTTGCAGTGTATTTGGAGGAATTACAGAGCGACAAGGAGGAGTTTTCATCTTTTTCTTTATCTTTAATTTCTCGTAGGGCTAATGTTAAGACGGATAATCTGGCACGAAAAGTTCGTACAGAACCGCTTTATATCACTTATGTAAATAACATTCATTAGGAATGGCTCTTTTGAGCTTTAATTAATTTCGGATGACAAAAAAAAAAAAAGTATTACCCCATAGTCATTAGTTATTTGGTCAATGAATTGAATTATCAAAGATTGCTTCGAAACAATATCAATGGAAAAATTGGATCTAAGATCCATAATTTCTTGCTAATAACCAAAAGTTCAATATATACATGCAATGAGTATTTTTAAGTTTATAGCAAATCATGGGAGCCAACAAAATTGTTCAATACCCTGAAACTTATAGAATTTTATATAGACCTATGATTCAAATCTTATGTACAAGTTATGGTGTAAAAGTCTCTTCATATTGTAATAATATATTCTCGAACGAAATTCAACTGATTATGTAATCTATTGCCTTCCAATAAATAAAAATTTAACGGCACAAAATACGTCAGTCAGAATTTCATGAAAAATTCTACTAATTTCTAATCGCATAAATAACACTAGTGGATAGACTCATACATTAAAAACACATAGTCGTCTACACGTATTATATATGGTGTGTGACCACCTTTTGGAGGTAAGATCATGTGAGTCATTTAGAATGAAGTACAGAAGTAATATTGGATGATGCTACTTGTTACTTTTTAGGCATCTTGACCATGCCCATTTTCTGACTCACACAATTGTAAGGAGTCCAAAATATTCGCTTATTGTAAAAACAAACATATATGATAGTTTTCAAACCTAGCTTATTGGATAACAAATTAAAAATAAGTCATAATAAAAATCATAATGAGAAATGGTTTAGGACTAATTCAAAAAGAACGACTCCTTCTAAAGCTTAGTTCTTCTATAATCTTCATCCTAATCCGACCGGCTTTGGTAATTTCACATAACATTCCATTCAAAAGTCCTAATTAACAACCACGCTTATGCTGTCTTGTCCATCTAATTCTTACTCGGAATAAGTCATATTCCGACCTTAATTCTATAATTGTATAACCTTTTTTTGTTGTTTATCCTTAATTATTACTCCAAACATTGAGGGAAAAAAGCAAAACTCAATCAGTAAAAACAAAAAAACAGAACCAGAAAAAACTGGGTTCTTACCAAATATTGCCGTCGGCGCCGGAGAATGAGAGGAAGAAGGAGTATGTGTCTTTGAAGAATCTGATCCCGTCCCGTTATCCAGTTGGGACTCAAACGCCTCCGTTTGAGCATAAGCCTAAGTCCTCTAAACGGCGTTACGTCAAAGTTAAAGAGCTTCTCTTTGACCCGGAGACTTCCAAGCGTATATATTGGCGCGACGAAGTACCAGTTCATGAAGACCAAGATCAAGAACACAATCATGGATGTTTCTGTTTATTGAAGAGAAGCTTTCGAGGAACGATCGATAAGTTGTTCGGTCCTCTTTTTGGATTACTTAAGTTCGACGAGTTTCGGTGTTGTACATGTGAGTCATGATTGAAAGAGTTTTTTTTTTTCGTTTGGGAGAGTGTGATTTGTTGTTGGGAACGAAAATGAACTGCGACACTATCTAAAAATTTATCATATAGTCTATACGAGTTTGTTTGTTTTTGTTGGGGACGTCTATGAGTTGTTTTGCACCCATTCTATTATTCTAACGATTTATAGTTTTGTGATCCAGGCTTAGATAGGCCCATATATACATATAACTAAACTCCTTAAAATAAGCCTAATAAGTCCAATCTGTTCTATGCTTTTTCTTTTGCATTTTGTGAAATTTTGATTCAATTTTGATAAAGCGTATCACACTATAAATGGTGTTTTAGTTGCAAACGTTCCGCTGATCGATTGACTTTCTCGTTATGTAATCCGCGTAATAATTTGGGGTTCAATCACAATTTTATCATGTAGATTTATTCATTTATATTCAGTAACTTTATGTATTTGTCATTACAATAACAAAAAAAAGCAAAACTTTAGTATCTACCAATTTTAAAAATTAAATTAGGATTTATGCTTTAGAATTGTACTACACTAGATATTAACCCGCGGTACACCGCGGGTCTATAATTTTATTAAATAATAATAAATTTTTTTTTTAAGATGATCTATAGATATATGCTATTGTTTTATTTGATTTAAATGTATGGTACACTGTATGACGATATTTATAACAAAAGATTTAAAATTTGAAGTTTTATTTGTTTTGTTAATATTATTTGTTTAGTTTTGTTTAGTGTTTAAGATTGTATAGTTATATTTTGATTGTTAATTATAGGATTTTACCCGTAGTATATCATACTGTATTAATATCGACCACAAACTCGTCCGCGACCATATAACTCTGTCCCGTCCAATCTACATCATTTTGTCATTTTCCAATAAAATTCAAAGATTTCTAATATTTGAAACTTCATTTAATATCGACCCAAAATTCATAATAGTATTTTGATTGTTATATCTAGGATTTCACCCGTAATATATCGTCCCGTATCTTTTGTAAATATTTATAATGTTTAAATTTCTTATAAATTATTATTAAATTCAACTATTTAATATTTGAAACTTTATAAAATTCCTAATATTATAAATATTTACAACGTTTTATAAAATTAAACTTTTTAAAAAGTTTAAATAAATATAATATTTTACTTTTAATAAAGTTTAATAGATTAAATTAAGAACTTATATTTAAAATGTTTTCTTTGGAAACTTTAATAGATTAAATTAAGAACTTATATATAAAATTAGTCAAAACCAAAATATACATAAAAAAAGTATTAGAAAACATTAAACATGAAATACATTGGATAAGAAAATAAAATATATATGATGTGATTTTTAACCATATAAAACATGTAATTGTTATAAAAGGTTTTAAAAGATTAGAAAAATTACACTTACCAACCAAAACACGGATCCACAGGTTTTTGTAAAAGTATATATCATAAAAACAATTAAAATACATAACATTAGAATAATGAAAATTAAGAATAAGAACTTTATTTTATTAACAAATTCGTTTCCTTTTTTCGTTAAAGAAAATGAATTAATATAATGGACTTGTTATGTTAGCCTATAAAAGAAAATCATTTACAATCATTATGAGGAAACATGAAATTCTGAAAATGTAAAAAAATACTGGACATTAAAAAATTTGTATCTGAAGATAAGAAGAAGGACTAACTAACCTTTTAATGCATACCTTATTTGATAGTTTCTTTGGAAACGGAGATGATGATGTCCATAGTTTCCAAGATCTTAAAATCGAAAGCTGCAACATAAGAAAAGTAGGTGACAATTAATTTTTTAAAAGAAAACAAACGTGAAATATAAAATGTACTAAGAACATTGTTTAAAAGAAGCCATATAAATCTCTATTACGAAAACGTTTAGTATTGTGGATCAATGGTTGAAAAGATCTTCTTTATATAGATGAATGAAAAGTACTCGAGAAGTTTAGGTTTGACCTACAAATTAAAACAATTTTGCAAATATTCGAAAATTATATATTTGATTCCTAATATATTCGATTTTGTATTATCAACTGAATAACGTCTATATGCATGGTGGGATTTATGAATGAGGAAAGCTAATTAAAGATATTTCCATTTGTTTTAGGAAGTTTGTTGAATAATATCTAAACGAAACAAAAAAATCTTTTAAAGATATTTTATGAGAAATAATATATTCGCCAATTTGGGTTGGGGATCAAGTATATGAAAATCTCGTAAATATTATATGTTATATTTATTACATATACTAATTTTCACATTGTAGTTATTTAAATCAAAGATTTTAATGAGTTAATTATGGAATACAAAATATCTATGTAAATCAAAAAGTTTAAAGAACCAATAGCGCTGGAATTGATTTTTTTGCTATAACGATTACTAAAACATTTAAGTAAATAAAGATATTTCGTTATGATTTTCAGCATATTCAAATTGTTGATTATTTCGAAATTTAAGGATGTTTAAGAAATCATGATTGATTTCCGATTTCATAAATTTTGATTAGAATTAAAAATAAAAGATTTAGTATTTAGATAAGGAATATACTATAATAAGGATAATTAGTACTCGAATATATTAGGAATATTCGTATTGTTAGTTTATTTAATTCAAAAATTATAATTTGCGGATTTAAAGGAAGATCTTCTCGAGATTTTAGGAATATAATCGAGATTTTAGTAACAAATGTGATCACATTAAATTTTCGAAAGATTTGAAATATTTGTGTCCAAATTGTTAGAAACAAATTAGGATAGATAATTTTTGGTTAGTATCTTTTTTAATATTTTCAAATCTTAAGAATTAAACCCATTGACATTATATTGTTGAATTTATTTTTTTTAAATTACGTAATATTAAATAAAAAAAATAAATAACTAACTATTTTCATTTGATGGTGTAGACAAATTATTATTATTATTTATGTCATTTAATTACAAATAACAAATATTAATTTTTATAACAAAACAAATTATTTTCGTAAGAACAATTTTTTCCCAAATCAATATTTTACAAAATATTTATTTTAATCACATATTCTTTCTATATAGAAATAAATAGTTAAATAATTATTGTTAGAAGTAGTTAAGGTAATTAACAAATATGGTTAGTTTAGATATATTATATATATTTCCAATTTAGGTGTTAATTAAGAATTAATGTGGTTTTAAGACAACATTCCTAAAAATCCTTATCCTAGATCCGAATATAGTTAATCCCGGATAAAACCCGGATCCAAAAGACTTTTTGCAAAAATCCCCTGTAAAAATGTATATGTAGATTTGCTATTATTATTTATGTTTCCATCACAAATATAATGGTTTTGAAAAAATATTCTAATTAAAATAGCATAATTTATATAATGAAAAAGAAAAGAGAAATACCTTGTATGTTTTTTTTTTTGCTAAATAAATACCTTGTATGTTGTTGTAGTCAAAGTCAAAGATGACTATATGGAAATGTAGTAATCAACATTAGCCCATTGGTTGATTTCATGTGTAATAATTAAAACATTGTGCTGAGAAACAAAACCAATTTCCAACGATAAAATGACGAAACCATTCTTATTTTCTCAAGTCTCAACCACCGACCACCGTAAATATCGCCACATCATCACGTATAGAAGGGTACACATGTCATTTATAGACGCAGCGTTAGAACAGAACAGAGATAGAAAAAAAAAAAAAAAGACAGAGAAAGAATCCTTAAAAAGGAAAAAAACATTTATGAGTGAAAAATAAATTTGATCTCTTTATATATATATTTTTCTGCATCTCAGGGGTTTTGGGATTCTCTGATTCGATCGATTTCTACACCTCTTCGATTGGGTGGATCTTTGTTGATGGCGAAACTGAGACACTCGCGATTTCAAGCGAGGAAATGGTCGACATTGATGCTGGTTCTGTTTATGTTGTTTATGTTAACGATTGTTCTCTTAATGCTTTTGGCTTTTGGGGTTTTCTCTCTTCCTATTAACAACGATGAATCTTCTCCGATCGATCTCTCTTATTTCCGACGAGCTGCTACCGAGAGGTGAGGTTTGCATGAATTGTGTCAAATTTCTTGATCTCTCTGGATTTTTTTATATTAAATTTGTATTTTTGTTTTTGTATCGAATTCAGAAGTGAAGGACTTGGGAAGAGAGGAGACCAGTGGACTGAAGTGCTCTCTTGGGAACCTAGAGCTTTTGTCTACCACAATTTCTTGGTTAGTGTTCTTAATTCATCAGATTCATGTTGATTAATTGAATAGTTTAGCAATGATTGTGTTAATATCTTCAGTTTGATCGTGTCTGTTAATTCGAAATTGATGCATGATTGAACCAAAAATTAAAGCTTGAGGATTAATTAATTATTGATTTGATTTGACCAGTCGAAGGAAGAATGTGAATATTTAATCAGTCTTGCAAAACCACATATGGTGAAGTCAACTGTTGTAGATAGCGAAACTGGCAAGAGCAAAGATAGCAGGTTTGGTCTCATCATGCTTCTTGTCTTAAAAATAAAGGCAAGCATTGTTGTGATGATTTGTGAAATGAAAACACTTTCAGGGTGCGGACAAGTTCAGGGACTTTCCTTAGGAGAGGAAGGGACAAAATCATTAAGACCATTGAGAAAAGAATAGCTGATTACACCTTTATTCCTGCAGGTATTGAGAGACTTTTCATTGATCAAATTGCATTTTTGGACTTTCTTTATATCTGGAATTTTGATCATGTATAGTTTAATGCATTCATATGTAATATTTCTAATTAGCTTCTTCTTCTGCATGGTGAAATATGAATGTGTGCAGATCATGGTGAAGGACTTCAAATTCTTCACTACGAAGCAGGGCAAAAGTATGAACCACACTATGATTATTTTGTTGATGAGTTCAACACTAAGAATGGAGGTCAACGGATGGCTACAATGCTTATGTATCTGTAAGATTTTCTAACTCTTTGTTTTTAAGGTTGTCATGTTCCTGTATTTACACAATCCTGTCGTACAGGTCCGATGTTGAAGAAGGCGGTGAAACAGTGTTTCCTGCTGCCAATATGAATTTTAGTTCTGTACCATGGTATAATGAGCTCTCTGAGTGTGGGAAAAAGGGACTTTCCGTAAAGCCGAGAATGGGCGATGCATTGCTTTTCTGGAGCATGAGGCCTGATGCTACACTAGATCCTACAAGTTTGCATGGTAAATTACCTTCAGTTTTGAAGATCATTCAAAACACTCTTCATTCAGTGTGTGGTTGCTAATATATGTCTTCCTGATTCTAGGTGGATGTCCTGTCATTAGAGGGAACAAGTGGTCATCTACCAAATGGATGCATGTCGGCGAGTACAAAATCTAGCGTTTTTTGGTTGCTGGTAACTGTCCATTCCTCCTAAGTTTCAGATAAGCAAATTTATCCATATCTCGGCAATAGAGTGGTTAAGGGATTAGAGGAATCACTTATCATCAATGATCAAATGTTTTGTTGTAAACATCAACTAATCTCTTTAATTCAACATAGTTTCCTACACACAAATATGAACACAGACTGTGGATTATATAAGCTTGTTATCGGTGTGCATACAAGATTAAGATAAAATACCGTGTGTTGGCTCTTGGTGCATATAAGCTTGTAATCGATGTGCATATAAGATAAAGTACCATGTATTGACTCTTGGTTCTTACGTTATCCTTTTTCATTGACAGGACAGTAAACTGTTTCCTTTCATGGTGGATGGAATGCAATGTTGGAACTAGAAGTTACAGAGAGTTGATGCTTGTTTTTTCCCTGCGGCTCAGGGCATTCCTTTGATGAGTGGGATTCAAGGTTTATATATCATCAGAGAATACCAAAAGATAGGGATTTTGTTAGAGTACATTAGGATGGCTTAGAGTGACTGTTGCTCATTGGTATACACCTAAAGGTCTTGTGTCTTTGAACCGAAGTTGTGTATTACTTAGTTTTGTGGTGTTCTTTTCTTTTTTTGTGATTAGAAACATAATCAAATTAAAGAATCTTATCTTAATATGAAAACTGAATTGTCATTGACTCATTTGTGGTGGTTCTCATCAGCAGAGAACAATTGTTAGTTCTAATATAAGAAATATTCAACAAAATGCACAAACAATGGTGCATAAATATAAAAGTGTGGGAAGAGATTATTATTACACAACAACAAAAAGACATGATTCACCAGTTTCGAAGACAGGAGCAGAAGTGGTTTATAAATAGATTTTGTACGAAGTCTCCCTACACAAACCTTTATTGTACAAATGATAAAACAAAAGAAAATTCCCCATTCGCAATTCTCTGAGTTTTGTTTTCACGCAATCAATCATGTTTGTCTTCTCTCGATATGATTTAAGTTCCAAATAAGATAAGAATGGAGCAACATAGAGGTTGTTTCAAAAGGCTTAGCTTGTGGAGTCACGGCTGTAGAATTGATCAAGTGTTTTGGCAGGAATACGGTGAAGAAGCTCGCGTGGGAAGATACGGAGCAATGTCCATGCCAAGTCAAGCGACTGGAATATGTTTCTTGTATCGTATGCGCCTTGCATCACAAACTTCCTCTCAAATTTATCTAGAAACTCCAAATACAGCTACAAACACACAACACAAGCAATTGTTGTGAGTAATTATTATTGCAAGTATTTTGCTATGAACATGATTAAGGGGAAGTTAGAGACACGTTACCAGATCCTCAGAAGAAAGAGCTTCTTCTCCAACAACAGCTTTCATGGCTTGAACATCTTTCCCGATTGCATAATTTGCGTATAGCTGAAAGTAAAGAGAATGTTGTCAATTAAATTCGATACTATATTAACATGTGAGCTACTTAGCTGTATTAACATGGTAGAGAACCTGGTTGGACACATCAGAATGGTCTTTGCGAGTCATTCCTTCACCAATAGCACTCTGTAGGAGTAATGATTAAGTTAATAAGTGATAGTATGTTTCAGTCCATGTGAATCCATAAAGGTATAATCGAATCGTTTGGCTACCTTCATTAATCGAGAAAGTGATGGAAGCACGTTGATGGGTGGATATATCTGTTTTAGGGAAGAACCAAGACAGAATCAGAGATCATTGTAAATGGATGAGAAACCTTTCTTGCTTATGTTTGATGTGTTAAAGAGCTCATGATGGGAGATATGCAAAAAAAAGTCAAGCTTATTGCACCTGTCTGTTGTGAAGTTGCCTATCAATATATATCTGACCCTCAGTGATGTAACCAGTAAGATCCGGAGTAGGGTGGGTGATATCTTAGTTTAATAGCATGAGATAATAAGATATTATGAGCTTCGTTCAATAAAAAGATGTATAATGTGAAGAGCATCAAAGAATGATATGAATTTTTACCATCATTGGGCATAGTCAGGATAGGGATTTGGGTAATGGAACCCTTTCTTCCTTCAATACGTCCTGCACGTTCGTAAATAGTTGCAAGATCTGTATACATATACCCTGGATATCCACGTCTTCCAGGAACTTCTTCTCGAGCAGCAGAAACCTAGAGTTCTCGTTTGTTAATTTTTTTTCAAAGCTTCAATCAAATTTTGAATCATGGGACACACACAAAGGACAGTGAACGTCCTTACCTCACGAAGAGCATCTGCATAAGAACTCATGTCTGTCAATATAACAAGCACATGCTTCCCACATTCATAAGCCAAATATTCAGCGGTTGTAAGGGCAATTCGAGGAGTGATAATTCTCTCGATGGTTGGGTCATTAGCCTGTCGAGTGGAAAGCAGAATAAGGTTAATCCATTACTGATGTAATATAGAAGGACTATAAGAAGTAAGATAAGATGCATAGGAATCACTAGTTGAAAATTACCAGGTTCAAGAAAAGGGTAACTCTTTCCATCGATCCATTTTCTTCAAAATCGCGCTTGAAGAACTGAGCTGTCTCCATGTTTACACCCATAGCTGCAAAAACAATTGCAAAATTGTCCTCTCCATGATCCTGGAAAAACACAAGGGAAATAATGAAGGATTTTACAAGGCAAACAAAACTACAGAGGAATTGAGAGACTGCTACATTCATCTTCACAGAAGTTGAGTATTATGAAAATTCAACGGCATCACAAAATATAACCCTTGACATGTACCCTGTATTAGTAGAGATAATTAAATCTTTCTACATTATTTAGAAAGTGAATGTGCATACACAGGCACTTCCACTTCAGCATGATACTTGGAAAACAAAAGTACTTACATGGTGCTGGTAATGGGGAAAATGATTTACCTCCTGAATTAAGTTCTCAGTCTTCTCCAACCGCTTCACAAGTCCAGCCTGACGACAAATTTGAGCAGCAATCTCATTATGAGGTAGACCAGCAGCAGAGAAAAGAGGAATCTTCTGTCCACGAGCAATGGAGTTCATGACATCAATGGTAGAAATCCCCGTTTGTATCATCTCTTCAGGGTAGGTTCTTTCACTGGGGTTGATTGAACTTCCTATAAAAATTATCGACGGTAACAATTAATAAACAGACAAAAAATTTCTTCAGAGCACAATTGAGGCAGTCAATGCTCACCAGAAATATCAAGGTATGCCTCTGGCAATATAGGGGGGCCATTATCAATTGGCTTTCCTGAGCCGTTAAATATGCGGCCAAGCATGTCCAATGAAACAGGCGTCTTCAGTACCTGAAACACACACCAATAACAGAGAAAGTTATTAAAAAAAAAAAAAAAAAAGTGTAAGCAAGCATCCTTAGTTTTCAGAAAACTGCCAACCAAAATATTAAATAATCTGCCAAAAGCTTAAGAGAAGAAGGCTTTATTTATAGTAAACACCTCTCCTGTGAATTGCACGGTGGTAAACTTGTTGTCAATTCCAGATGTTCCTTCAAAAACCTGAAACCCATAGATGAATAAAATCATTGAGGAAATTGACCTGTTACACCTAGATTCAACACATTAGTCTTATGCAGAAATTCACATTACAATAACATGCAAAAATCATAAACCTGGACAACAGCTTTCTCCCCATCAACCTCCAAGACCTGACCACGTCTGGTTGATCCATCTCCTAAGCGAATATTAACAATCTCCTGGTACTTTGGACCCTGATTATAATAAACAGTTCAACAAATACAAACAGTGAGTTTCCCTGACAAATGAAAAACAAGAAAGCTTCTCAAATCAATACCTTCACTTTGTCAAGGATGACCAAAGGTCCCGCAACACCGGAGACAGTTCTATACTCTACAATTCAAAGATTCTCAAATCAGTCACTTACAAAGACAAAAACGTAGGAAAAAATGCTAAATCATAACATCAACCACAGGAAACAACTAACTCATAAAAAGCAAAGCAACACTAGTCACTTATCCGTTAGTCAACGAAACGTTCCTCGAGAAAAAATGAAAATCGAAGATTAGATGTGATCCAAATCAATGATCGGTGGTGACTAACCCATTCCGATCTCGAGAGTTCCTTCCTCCATGTCGATACCAGTCTCCACCATTGTCACAGATCGATATCAAATCAAGCTACTCCACAATCCCTGGAAAAAAGTCACAACGCGGAGCGGGAACATAACCGATATCAAAAAAACAATCGAAAAATCGATCCAACAATCGTCGAAGAAGAAGACATAATCGAACAGTGAGGTAAGATCTGATGAAGAAATCACGTACCTCTAATGGATTCAATTAAGCAGAGAAGAGAGGGAGAGAGATTGTGATTTGATGAAGGTGGTGTGGTTCTCTCTGTGAAAACGTGGTTGGAAGATATCTGACATCTCATTATTTGGTCATTTTCCTATATGTTTAAAATTATTATTTTCGGATCGAAATTTTTTTTTTGTTTTTTTGGACAGAGATATTTCCATTTCTATAAAAACAAGAAAAAAGAAAAACAAAGCGCCCACCGTGGGGCTCGAACCCACGACCACAAGGTTAAGAGCCTTGCGCTCTACCAACTGAGCTAGACGGGCTTATTGAGAGATTTGTCCTTGTCATATTATATATCACAACATTTGGAAAAAAGTGGATGGTAATGCATAATATATTCAAAGTTATTGGTGGTGATGCATGAACATGATGATCATGTCTCGTTTAAAGGATATATAACATATGAAATTTATTATATGTCTAATAACATTTATGGAGTTTACTAACCTTTTTTTTTTTGTCATCTGAGTTTTACAAACCTGTTAAGTTATTCTAACAACCAAATTACATGTCATGTTCCCATGTTGGATAATTTGGTAGTGAATTGTCCAAAAAAATATTTAATGATTTGATTGATTTCACCTTAAACCTTACTTCATTGTTATTTAATTAACATTGTTATATAAATTTTATTCATTATTTCATTAAATATAATTAAAATTTGGAATTTTATTTCAAAATCTATTAAAATGTAATAAATTTTATTTCTACTAAAATATTGGTAACTTTAATATTCTTGTATTATGGTGAGATTGCCTTGCTTTTTCAATTTAATGAAATTGATTGTTACCCTTTTTCTTTTGTGTCAAGCTAGAATTTGTTGTCTATTTAACAACCTCCTAAGTAAACCATTGAAATAAACGAAAATAATCACATCAACGTAACAAGGAAAAAAGAAGTAGGGAGATTCTCATTTTGATTCATCTCTGAATCATGGATGGTTTACCAAGAAAAAAACAGAAGCATGTAAATGATCACCTAAACTCATCTTCCATCATAAATGTTTTACCTTTGGATCTCCTAAACGAGATTCTCTTCAGATTGGAACCCAAATATCTAGCGATGCACAAATAAATATTTCCAATCGTATCTATCTGACCCGAAATTCAAAAAATACACTTTTTGGGCCAGACCCAGTTTCTTTAACATCTCCGTTTTTGGCTCATGTCATATCTTTTGCCAGCCTTTGGTCTCTTCGTGCGACTCTATGTCACTAGGAAAAAAACACAAATGTTCTAAGTGTTGAGCGATGTTACATACTTGGCTCATGCTCCGGCCTTCTTCTCCTATCACACATCGGTCGCCTCTTCATCGCAAATCCGGTAACAAAAAAGTTTCGATTTCTGGATGACTCTGGGTCAAAGCTTATACCTACGATACCTGATCATAAGGACAGAGCGATGTGTGTTGGTTTTGCGGTAAATCGAAATCGAACCACTATGAGATTCAAGATCGTTTGCATACTCGAGATGCAAACGGTCTACAAATTCGAGATCAGCGACGGATATTCATGGAGATTATCGGAAACGACCATCACCCCTAGCTCAAAAAGTGATCTCATGACGCGAATGAAACCTGTTTACTTGGACAACACTCTTCATTGGTTGAGAAATGATGGGAGCATCATAGCTTTTAATCCCGAGACAGAGCAAGCACGATTGATTCCTTCCAGATTCAGATTCGATGATAATTATATGGTCATAAAACCATTATTTGCAGCAAACGAAGATATCAACCGCCTGACTTTGATATCAATGGCGATAAAAAGAATCTCAGTTTACACACTACTCCAGGATTCGAAGTGGGCTCTCGCCAAGCGGATCAAGTACATATCTACGGACAGAAGAGAGATTATAGCCTCGGATGTGGTTGCGTACGATGGCAAGTGTCTTGTGTTGAGGCAGATGAAGAAAGACGATCCTCATTGGAGAAGTGTGGTTCATGTGTACGACATGGAAGCTAACTGTTGGAGAGGGCTAGGGGCCATATGTCAGTATGCTATCGTCTACGAGTTGTATAAGATTACCCCCTCTTTGTTCTTTGTCGAAGAGGATGATGAGAAGCAGAAGGTCGTTGTAGCATCTAATCACCAACACATGTACCTAACCTCGGTTTTGGGAGCCATTGATACCACCAAGTAAACTATCTCATGCTTTGATTATTTTGGATCTAATAATTGATACAATAAATGTTTGATTTGTAAGAGTGTTTTTCCTATATATATATGCTTTCTGATGGCATTCTCATGTTTACCTTTAACCTTACAAAAATAAAATAACAATGGATACAAATGGAATATACTAGTATGTTCTTTGAGAAACTCGGTCAATCTCCATCTTCAGTTGAGAAACATTAATTCTAGTATTCCTTTTTATTCTCTTGAATTATGGTATCATAAAAAGAGAAACGTTTCCTGTAAAACTCTCTATACAACACATAATAAAGCGAAACAGAAACAAATTTTGCAAAAATGATCTTTTGTTCGAAAACAGAATCAATTAATTTTTATTATCAATGGATATTATAATAAGATTTGCTGACATTTTGTTCAACTTGATAACTAATAAAGTATTTTGCAATCTAAATAAAACAATAAATGTATAATATTTTGAATTTGCATATATCCGGCAACGATAATTAAAAAATTTAGATTCCATCTCAAAATCCATCAAAATATAATAAGAATTGGTAACTTTGTATTATGTTGAGATTGTCTTGCCTTTTCTAGTAATGCAATTGATGTTTTTTTTTTCTAAGCTAAATTTTGTTGTCTATTTAACAACCTGGTTAGTAAATCATTACAATAAACTAAAATAATCACATCAACAAGCGAAGCAGAATCAAGGTGATTCTAACTTTGAGTCATCATCTCATCATGAATGGTTTACCTTTGCATCTCCTAGACGAGATTCTCTTCAGAATGGAACCTAAATCTCTGGGAATGATGCGATGTACGAATAATTTTTTCAAATCTTATATATCTGACCCAAAATTTGAAAATGTTTTGTTTCATCTTTCCAGCTATGGCGCCACTTACATCTTTTGCCAGCCTTTGGTCTCTTCAAGAGATTCTATGTCACCGGGAAATGAAGTGAACTTGTTTAGAGAGCCATGTTACATTTTTGGCTCCTGCTCCGGCCTTCTCCTACTATATATTGGTGGCCTCTTTGTCGTTAATCCCCTCACAAAGAGGTTTCGACTTTTGGATCGCTCTGGCTCAAAGCTTCTGCCTATAATAGTTGGTGGTGATCGTAACGTTGCTGGTACGGAAAGAGCTATGTGCGTCGGTTTCACGGTAAATGGAAACCGAACCACTAAAAGATTCAAGATTGTCTGCATACACGAGATGGAAACGGTGTACGCATTCGAGATCAGCGACGGATATTCTTGGAGATTATCGGAAACGACCATCACCAATAGCTCAAAAAGTGATCTCACGGTGCAAATGAAACCTGTTTATGTAGACGACACTCTGCATTAGTTGAGAAACGATGGGAGTATCATAGCGTTTAATCCCGAGACAGAGCAAGCACGCTTGATTGCTTCCATATTTCATCAAAAACCAGAGATGAAACTGTTTTCCGCTGCAGACGATAAGTTGAATCGCTTGACCTTAATATCGGGGACGGGAGAAGAAATTACAGTTTATACACTACTCGAAAATTCCAAATGGACCCTCGCCAGGCAGATCAAGAACGTATCTATGAAGGAAAGTGAACTTGTATGTTGGAACATTGTTGTGTACGATGGCAAGAATCTAGTGGTGAGGGAGATGAAGGATAGATTAAAAGGTGTGGTTCATGTGTACGACATGGAGGTTAACAGTTGGGGAGTTATAGGGTCAACCACATCTTGGTCCACTCGCGTCCCAGACTTCTATAAATTTACGCCCACCTTGTTCTTTGTCGAGGAAGATGAGCAGCATAAGGTGGTTGTAGCTTATAATGACCAACATGTGTCCTATCTAACTGCGATTATGGGACTCGTTGATACGACCTAGTTAACAATCTCATTTATGACATTATGAACCAAATATCTGCAACTATCATGCACTATCTTGAATTCATTCACAGTTCAGCTTTTGATGTGTGATAATAAGTTGTATAAACAATGAGAAAATTTTGTCAGAGCATTAATTTATGCACTACCATTTATGCTCTGATTGCCATTGCCATTTATAAGCTTTTGATGAGTTTTTAAACGAACCTGAAACACTTGTGTAGATAAATTAATATGAGACTTCGTTATGAAAATCTATTAGTATCACCAGAAATCTCCACAGGAACAAATACCGTCTTTAAAATGATGAAACCTATTTGTATCTCTAATGAAAATCTCTCTACCTGCGTAACTTGATATAAATTTAATGACTGCATGGCAATCGCCGCATATCCTAAGGTTCTTTATGACCTGAAGAGGTGTGCCGTCTGGTGTGTTAAGCAGACCGAAAACTACTGCTAGTTTCTCACTGTGTCCCCATAACATCTGCTCTTGCTCTTGCTCCTCCACATCTTGCAGAGCAAAATCCAAATTTGGGCGGTGACCCGATTTCCTCATCTCTTCGCTAATCTCATCCATCTTCTCTGTTATTTGATCTATCTGCGGGTGCGACTTGTCACAAGCCAGAAGCGTATACACTTTGTTCTTCACTTGAATCCAGCTGCATCCCGGGTTCTTCTTCAGTCCCAGACTCTCCATCTTGTTTCTAATACTGTCTACTTCTGTCCACATGCCTTTAGCGGCATATATATTGGACATGAGAACGTAAGTCCCTGGGTTTTCGGGTTCTAAATGGAAAAGCTTTTGTGCTGCGATTTCAGCTAAATCTACATTGTTTTGAAGCCTGCAAGAATTTAACAAGGCTCCCCAGACGCAGGAGTCTGGCTCAAAAGGTATCTCCTTTATCAGATCATATGCTTCTTGCAACTTGCCTGCGCGTCCAAGAAGGTTTACCATGCAAGAATAATGTTCCAACCTTGGTTTTATCCCATATTCCTCTGACATCATATTGAAATATTTCCATCCTTCATCTGTTAAACCTACTTGGCCACATGCTGATAATAAACTTGTAAAGCTGATGAAATCGGGTTTCAACCTGGTTCTCATAAGAGATTCAAATATGCTCATGACTTCCTTGGCCTTCCCGTGCATGGAATATCCATTCATTAAAGAGTTCCAGCAGACTAAGTTTTTTGTAGGCATCATATTGAAGACAATCTGAGACATTTTGATTCTTCCACACTTGGCATACATGTCAATCAGAGCACTCCCTACATGAACATCATCCAAGAGGTGGACCCTTACTGCAAATCCATGAGTCGATCTCCCATGACCCAAAGCTGCTATATTTCCGCAAGCTGGAAGCATTGAAGGGATTGTTACACGGTTTGGCTTCACCCCTGCAACCTGCATTTCTCTAAAAAGTTCCAAGGCTTCGATATCTTTCCCGTTCTGAGCACACCCAGCTATGATCGAAGTCCATGACACGACATTAAGCTCCATCTTTTGCTCCTTGAATAGCCCAAACATTTCAAGTGCCTTGTCAACAAGACCATTTCGCGATAACCCTGTAATGTACGCATTGCATACCCCGGTCTCCATCATCTCAAATTCATCGAAAAGTTTTATGATTCCATAAACATGGCCGGATTTCCCGTACATATCAAGCATTGCACTAATGACACATTTATCCTTAAGCAAACCCTGCTTAATCACATACCCATGAATCTGCCTCCCCATATTCAGATTCTCTGAGTCTCCAACTGAAGGAAGAACACTTGAAACTGTAACCTGATCAGGACAAAACCCCAAATGGTGCATCTTTTGGAACATTATCACTGCTTCCTTGTGATACCCGCTACGATTAAACCCACTAAGAATACCATTCCAAGACACAATATTCGGCTCAATACCTGACTTTTCCATCTCAGAGAGGATACGAACCACCTCTTCTAGACAACCCTTTCGCGCATAGCCACAAAGCAAAGCACTGCAAGTGACAACATCTTTCTCAGACATTCTATCGAACACTTTGCGTGCATCACCCATCCTACCACATCTCATGTACATATGAAACAGAGATCCCTGAACAAACGCATCCATATCCAACCCGGAAACACAAGCTACACAATGTATCTGTTTACCAGCTTTAAAAGCCGATAATTCAGCACAAACCTTGAACAAATTCGGAAGAACATGTGTATCTGGAATCAACCCATGAGAGAACATCCGAGAAAACACACCAATCGATTGCGAGAAAAGCTTAGCCTTTGTTAAAGCGTATATAAGAGAAGAGAAAGAGTAAACAGTAGGATCCGGAATCGATTGCAAGATGAGATCAGCATCGTTGAAACAATTGTAGTTCGAGTATGAAGCAATGAGTTTAGCGGAGATATATCCATCGTTTTGAGCTCCGGATTTGAGGATACGAGCATGAGCTTGCGTTGTCTTTGATAACGAAGAAGACCAAAGAGATGATGAAGATTCTAAAATTCCGAGAATCGTTTGAGGGATTTTCTCTATCAGTGGAAGAACTTGTTTTGTCATTGCTTTAACAAAAAGAAAGTTCCCGCTTAACCTTAATCATTCACTTATCAATCCTTATACGCCACCAGATTCATCCACGTCACCATAATAAAAAGCAACGGCTAAAGATGAAGGATTGGGTCTCACTCAGCTTCTGACAAATATTGGCCGTTGATTCTATCTTCTAGAAATCATGGCCGTTGATTCTACCTTCTCCCGTTCTCCGAGTTTATAATCTATTTTCTTAAGAAAATTGATCCAGAAAGAGCGATGATGATTCGATCGGCGTTAGTGTTGGTTGTCTTCTTCGTCGGAACAGTCGTACAAGCTCAGCTCATACCTCCAGCGAGACGTGATGGATTCGTGTATCCACCGGGTCGGAAAATCGACCCGGATACGATACTAATTGAGGCGTATTTTGACCCGGTTTGTCCGGATTGTAGAGACGCTTGGGAGCCACTAAAGCTAGCGATTGATCACTATGGATCTCGCGTTGCTCTTGTTCTTCATCTCATTCCTTTGCCGTCAGTGTTTGATTTCTCTTCTCTTCAATTGCAATTTTCAATTTCTTTAGCTAGGTTGAGAAATTTGTAGTGAATTCAATTGATGAGTAGTTTGAGAAAGTAGCAGATAGTGTTTATGATTCCATATCTGTTGGATGCAAAATGTTTAATTCTTATGTGATGATGAGCTTAGCTTTTGGATCTTGCAGCTTCCATGACAATGCATTTCTAGTGTCTCGGGCTTTACACATTGTTGATACCTTAAACGCCAATGCCACGTTTAATTTGCTGGAAGGGATCTTTAAGCATCAGGTTCGATTAGTGTATTAAAAAGCTAAACTTCGCTACATCCGGCGGTTTCTGTTTCTTCAAATTAATGTTTATCCATGCACTCCATTTGATCAGCACATATGGTTTGGTTGAAATTGCTTCAACAGGCATTGTTTTACAACTCGCAAACACAACTCATGTCAAGACCTGCGGTTGTGGATAATTTAATCAAGCTCGGAACAGTTACATTGGGAAATTCATATCATTCTCCTCTGATATCTGGCTTCAGCAACTCAAAATCTGATCTTGCCACTAGAGTTTCCTTCAAGGTGACCCCTTCAGCTTTTCCACTTTTCAGTTTTACATACTTGAACATTTTCACTAGTATAGGTATTAAGATTGCTTATTCGATTTTGTCCTCTGTATTCGTGCTCATATCGTCAACTAGATAACCAAATAGAGTGATATGGATCTTTCCCTGCATTGTCACCAGTCATTATCTTAGTGTGCAGTAGAAGAATTCCGGATTCAATAGCTTGATTTCTAGTTAATACTCATTAGAGCTTTTATAATAAAAAATTTGACCATTCCATAATTGCTTTGCTTTTGTTATGTTTGCAGTATAGCGTCTCAAGAGGAGTCTCAGCGACACCAACCTTCTACGTGAATGGATTCGAGCTGCCCGGTGCTGGTTCTCCCAAAGATTATGAAGGATGGAGAGACACCATTGATCCTCTGGTTAAACCACAAGAAGTAGACATACGAGACACCTTCCTTTCATTCCTCACGCAACCATCTTATTAGTTGTACTTTCTATGCTGTGCCAAACTCCCACTCCCACCTAAATATATATATCTGTACTTAGTCTGAAAAATCCAGAAGCATAAATCTCATAAATGTTCATGTTGTTACATCTTCAACTGTCTTTATTTGCAGCTTAATGTATAGTAATAAACAAAAAAAATCTTCCAATGCTTCTCATGTTTTGTATAAATGATAATAAACTATTAAAAGTTTTATCTTCGTAACTGATGACAAAAAAAAAAAAAAGAGAGAAAAGATATACATGGTTATTGCTCGGTTCGATATCGGACCGGTTTAAATTAAAAAATTCAAAACCGAAAATCGATTAGGGCAGTTCACTGGTGCATGGGTGTGGAAGAGAAGTTGTGCGGCTGTTATATATTAGAGAGGCGCCTTTAACAACGGCGTATAAAAAAAAACAGAAACGAGAAGAAGTTTTCAATCTCTCGTCCAATTTTCTTCTGGGCAAAAACCAACATTTATCCTTATCCGATTCTTCTAGGGTTTTGGGAAGATCTAACCAGAGCAGTCGCAACAAAGGTAAGCATTCAAGCAATTTACTGAGGATTTTAAGAAAACCTTGTTTCTAAATCGTGGATTGAACGAGAAACCCTAGTTTCCATTGCTTGTTGTAGTTTTTTTGAGAAGGGCTCTGATGATTTTGTGTTGCTTTGTTGGGTTTTCAGATGGATAAGTATCAGAGAGTCGAGAAGCCGAAGGCGGATACGCCGATTGCTGAGAATGAGATTCGTATCACCAGTATGGGTAGGGCACGAAACTACATCACCTATGCGATGGCTCTTCTTCAGGTATATTGTATGACGATGATTTGGTTTTCCATTGTGCTATGAATTGGTAGTGAAGAGAGTTTTTACAGTGTAGATAATCTAGATAATTTAATTGGAAGTTCAAAAGTGCGGTTTCATAATCCAGTTGCATTTATGTTATCTTGATGCATTGTGGTGGTTTTGATCAGTTTCTTACGTTTCGTTTCGGATTTGGTAGAAAACTTAATTCATGATTTTGTTTTCTCAATGTGCAAGTTATTGATTTCCTGCCTTCTTTATTTGTTTTGTCGCTGTTTGATATTCATACTTCTTAAGTACATTAATTAAGTCTTTTGTGATGTGATTAGTTGATTTTTTGGCATAGAAGTTGAAACTTTTGTGTTGTTTTTTTCAATAACGGAAGTTGTTTTGTTATCATATTATAGGAAAACAAATCGAATGAAGTTATTTTCAAGGCTATGGGAAGAGCTATCAACAAGAGTGTGAACATAGTTGAGCTGATTAAGGTATTTTTTTTGTTTTAGTCTGCTCCTGATCACAGAATGGGAGTTCTATTGTATCTGAAGATTGTATTGTGATTGTTGATGCAGAGAAGGATTCCTGGTCTTCATCAGATCACATCTATTGGATCCACAGACATAACAGATACCTGGGAACCTACAGAGGAAGGCCTTCTTCCGTAAGTGGTCACTAAACTTTAGTTTTGTTTGTGCCAGAACTCATTTTACCATGTTGTATTCTTAATTTTGTTACTTTGACATGTTATTTATTACCTTGCCTTTTCCCCCTGAAGAATTGAGACCACAAGGCATGTGTCGATGATAACCATAACACTTTCGAAGGAGGAGTTGAACACATCCTCGATTGGGTGAGTTTCTAGGACTTGTTGTTTTGATATTTCTGGTCCATTCGCTTATTGAGGATTTTGTTCTTTTGTGTCTCAAAGCAGTTGTCTGTGTAGAGAGGTACATTGTCTCCACTGCTAATAAATCTTAATAAATGATGCTACAGGTACCAGTGTCCTATTCCTATTGAGATGGTGAAGCCATTCGCTGAGGTTGATTACGAAGGACAAGGTATATAGAGTCTCACTCTTAATGACATTTTCAGGCTCCCTGCCCTTCTGTCTTTTTTAAGTTTATAAATTATCTCTCTCTCTTGTAGAGGGATCTCCTAGAGGCAGAGGAAGAAGAGGCAGAGGAGGAAGAGGGAGAGGAAGGGGAAGAGGCGGCAGAGGTAATTACTTTAGCAATATTTTTAATGCAGTATCTTAGTTTCTTTGTAAGCTTTTGCATGTGATTTGTGGATAAGGGTTTGAGTGGATTGTGCTAATTCCTTTTTTGAACTTACTAGGAAATGGATATGTGAATGCTGAGTATGATGATGGAGGAAGGGGAAGAGGTGGCAGAGGTAGGATATCTTTAGCAATTTTTCTTTACCGAATTGTATTTTGAGTTTAGATTTTTTGCCTGTGATTTGTGGATAAGGGTTTGATTGTGTTGTGCTATTTCTTTATTTTTTTCGGATCTACCAGGAAACGGATATGTGAACAATGAGTATGATGATGGAGGAAGGGGAAGAGGCGGCAGAGGTTGGATTGCTTTAGAAAATTTCTTTCCAAATCATAGTTTCACCTTAAGCATATTTGCATGTGATCTGTGGACAAGGGTTTGATTGGCTTGTGCTATTTCTTCTTACGGATTTGCCAGGAAGTGGATATGTGAACAATGAGTATAATGATGGAGGTATGGAGCAGGACCGGTCATATGGCAGAGGACGAGGGCGTGGGAGAGGAGGAGGACGTGGTGGTCGAGGAAGAGGAGGTTACAATGGCCCCCCACCTTACTATGAAGCTCAACCTTACTATGAAGCTCAACAAGGTGGAGACTATGGAAACAATGCTGCTCCTCCAGCAGACCATGAATATGATGGTCCTCCGCCTCAAGGCCGTGGTACGTTTTGGTACACTATTGTTTTCTCATTAAATAAAGTTGACCAACTTGCTATGAGTTCTAAAAGCTTAAAAATTGGTGGAACAGGACGTGGCCGTGGAAGGGGAGGTCGTGGAAGAGGAGGAGGCCGTAGTGGATTGAACAGATCAAATGGAGCACCTATTCAGGCTGCTGCTTGAGCGACCAGGGTCATTGAATGAAGTTGGATTTTTTTTACATTGTCATGTTTTTGTCTCTTTTCTTCAAAACAACTTGTTGCCGTAGAATAATCTCTCGTTCATGTCGCTCTAGGTTATATATATATCCTCATTTATTTACTATGGACGTCGTTTTGGATGTTTCCAGTTTTTGTTCCTTCTAAAGAGTTTTCCAGTTTTGTCTCTGTTTAGAGTTTTGGATAAGTGACACGCAAGAAATATGATAGAACTCGCAAAGCACACATTCGTCTGCTTATTGATACCAACAAGTAATCCACTCTCTGGCATTGCGTTTTTCCATTGGTTCGTATATCATTTGATTATATTTTTTAACAACAGAAAAAGATAATTAGAAAAATATAAAGGGAAAAACAAATGAGTAAATTTGGAAAAATACCCTCTTTTTTTTTACACTTTTGAAAATTACCTTTTTAAATTTTCTTTTAAAAACTAAATTAAATATGTAAAATTACTAAAATTTACTTAAACTTAATAACAATTAATCAAAATATCTATATTTTAACTAGAATTTATTGATAAGACTTAAATATTTAATTTTTACAAAGTTTTTATATAACTAACAATTCAGAAAATTTACTATCATAACTATTTCTTAAAAAATAATGCATAACAACATTCTACCGATATTAAGTCATGATTTTTGTTAAGTCATGTATTATTTTTTTAAATTATAAAGAATAACAAAATTTTTTTAAAGAGAATCATTGAATTGAAGAAAGTTTTGTGAAATGTTGAGTTGAAAATGTGTTTGGAGTGTTGGAGTCTTGGAGATTATTTTACTTTATATAATCTTGTTAAATTTTAATATATAAAATTGATAAAATATATTAGTGTTAAAAACATATATATATATATATATATATATATATATAAAACTTTAACTAAAATTATCTTGAATTTAGTTTTTTTTTTCTTTCCCTAAATTTTGAATTTAGTTTATTTATTAAAAATATAGCTTTAAATTTAAATTAATACCAAATTGTCAATTTATATATAAAAATATTGTAGTTTTCATCAAAATAAAAAAAAGGTATTTTTCAAAGTATAACTTAAAAACAGGGTAGTTTTCAAAATAACCCAAAACAAATTGTAACCAAGTCCCCAACGTGTTTTGAGACAAATAAAAATTCGCTGGTTGCGTGTTTGGGCTATTCGAAGGAGGCCATAGCCCAGGTAGGCAGGTAATAAGGGAGGGTGGTGGTCCAAAACTCGTGGACAAAAATTTATCGCCGTTGCCGGGGATCGAACCCGGGTCACCCGCGTGACAGGTGGGAATACTTACCACTATACTACAACGACTTTTGTTGGTTGATCATATAGTACCAAGTATAAATACGATTATTGAAAAAGCTGTCTTGAACAAAAAGAAAAATACTTGGGAAACAAAAGAGTCTTAGCAGCATCAGCTCGTCCTCAAATCTGATCGACCATCGTCACTTTCTCTCCCGGCGAATTCCGTCTTGTCGATTCAGTAAGCTCTCTCTTTCTTCGTCTATCTCAGTCAACTAATCGGTTGAAACTTCAATCAATTCCGTGAAATCTCACCGGCTTAGTTGCACAAACCCTAACCTTCTTTTTGTCATTGTGAAGAGTAACGAGATTTGGGCAAGATGACTCAGGATGTAGAGATGAAAGATAACAATACTCCTTCTCAATCAGTCATCTCTTCTTCTACCTCCACTATGCAGCGTAAATCTCTATCTGAATGCTTCAATTGCTAAGTTTCTGCTGTGTTTTGACACTTTTTTTTGGTATCCCAGATTTGAAGGAGATTGCAGCACTGATCGATACTGGGTCTTATACGAAGGAGGTTCGTCGTATTGCTCGTGCTGTGCGTCTTACTATAGGGCTTAGGCGTAAGCTCACCGGCTCTGTGCTCTCTTCGTTTCTGGATTTTGCTTTGGTTCCAGGATCCGAAGCTCACTCTCGCCTTTCTTCCTTTGTTCCTAAGGTATTTTTGGGTTTTACTTCTTCACTTTGATTGTTCCTATTAGCATCTGGCTTTAGGGAGTTTAGATTCATGTTATGGTGGTTATTCTTTCCTTTGATGCTGTGAATGGCAAGTTATCTGACATAGAACTAGCTTAGAGACTGAAATATTGGAACTTTTTAATGGTTTAGGGTGATGAACATGACATGGAAGTTGATACAGCTTCATCGGCTACCCAAGCTGCTCCTTCTAAGCATCTTCCTGCAGAGCTCGAGATTTACTGCTACTTCATTGTTCTTCTTTTTCTGATTGATCAGAGAAAGTACAACGAGGTTACTGTTGCTACCTCTTTGTGTATTGTCATAAGCTACATTTCTGTTGTGGTTTTAGATTTCATGAGTTGCGTCTAATTTTCTCTTAGGCCAAAGCTTGTTCTTCAGCAAGCATTGCTCGTCTCAAGAACGTCAACCGAAGGACCATTGATGTGATAGCATCCAGACTCTACTTTTACTATTCATTGAGTTACGAGCAAACCGGTGATCTTGCTGAAATTCGTGGGTTAGTAGCTCAAAGATTGTTTTAGTTTAGTACTTTTTCTTACACCTCATATCAATCAGTAGCTCAATAGTTAATAATCTGGTTTTTTTTTTTTTGCATGCAGTACTCTTCTTGCGTTGCATCATTCTGCAACGTTAAGACATGATGAGTTGGGGCAGGTATGTCTGTCTTTAGCTCATGCAGTCCGCATTCATTACTTTAAAACTGTTACTTGCTTCTTATTCAAAATTATCATTTTGAATGCAGGAAACTCTTCTGAACCTGTTGCTACGAAACTACCTTCATTACAACTTATATGATCAGGCAGAGAAGCTAAGGTCAAAGGCACCTCGCTTTGAGGCTCATTCAAACCAACAGGTAGCTCTCGGTTATTCCTTCATACTCTTAGTTTTCTCTATATTTGCATGAGATCTCCAATGCTACTTCTGCAATCTTTCCAGAGAATTATTTTTTCCATTCACTATAGCATTTTCCATTTGCAATCATATCTACACCTAGGGTGCTCTTGTGTTTTCTTTTCTATCACTAATCATTTGTCGAACTTACTTGAAGTGTCCATTTTGCTGTCCTCTTTATACTTCTGACACCACCTCTTGCCATTACCATTGATCTATCTTGTGTTTTTCTTTGCTACTTATGAATTTTGTTCATTTGTTTAACCCTTCCATTGCAGTTTTGTAGGTACCTGTTCTACCTCGGGAAGATTCGTACGATTCAGCTCGAGTATACTGATGCGAAAGAGAGCCTCCTTCAGGCTGCCAGGAAAGCCCCTATAGCAGCTTTGGGCTTCAGAATTCAATGTAATAAATGGGCAATTCTGGTTCGTCTGCTACTGGGTGAGATACCGGAACGATCGATCTTCACGCAAAAGGGAATGGAGAAGGCCCTCAGGCCTTACTTTGAGCTTACTAATGTGAGTCCACCTTCATAATCTTGCTGATGTGACCTGTTTAAATTATTTATGAGCGGATAACTAAACTGGTGTTAGCATGAGACTTCACCTCTGTTTTTAAACCCATTCCTACTTTCACTTGTTGTCCTATACCCTTTTCTGTTACAACCTCTCTGTGGTCTCTTGCGACACAGCTTTACTTTGCTGCTGTTATTTTTCTGTTTCTACGAATTATGAAGAGCATGAATTTCTGGCTGTTAACTGTTGCTTTTTAGAGATATATGATGCAACAAGATGCACATTCTGATACTATTAAAACCCTCTTTTGATTTTGCAGGCGGTTAGGATTGGTGACTTGGAGCTGTTTAGGACAGTACAAGAGAAGTTCTTGGACACATTTTCTCAAGACAGAACGCACAATCTCATCGTGAGACTCCGCCACAATGTCATCAGGACTGGACTGCGCAACATAAGCATCTCATACTCGAGAATCTCTTTACCTGATGTTGCCAAAAAGCTGAGGCTCAACTCCGAAAACCCTGTGGCTGATGCGGAAAGCATCGTGGCAAAGGCTATTCGTGATGGAGCGATCGATGCGACCATCGATCACAAAAACGGATGGATGGTCTCCAAAGAAATTGGGGACATCTACTCAACGAATGAGCCACAAACTGCATTCAACTCAAGAATTGCTTTCTGCCTCAACATGCATAACGAAGCTGTCAGAGCATTGAGGTTTCCTCCTAACACTCACAAGGAGACAGAGAGCGATGAGAAGAGGAGAGAGAGGAAGCAACAAGAAGAAGAGCTTGCTAAGCATATGGCCGAGGAAGAGGATGATGATTTTTAGACAAAGGTAATCTCTTTCTGATAGAGTTTACTCTCTCTCTTTTTTTCTGTTCACAAGTTTACTTTGTACTCTGCTCATCGTTCCAAGTGTTTTATTGAGGATTTTTATCCTCCGGAACCTTTTTATTACTTTGGTTTCACTTTAGGAAAAGAGATTTATATTGTTGGTTTTAGAAGATTAGAATCTATTCAACTTCGTTTAATGGTGTTTGGGAGATTTTCGCATTTTCAGAATTGAACACTTTTTATCTAGCTGTATTAGGTGGGTCATTATTAGAACATGGAGTCATTGACCATGTGAAATGTTATCATCTCCAGTCATCTCCAGGCGATGCATACCATTTAAATCCCCATTCATATATCTCCATTAAATGATAGATAAGCAACTCATAGATATCTAAAGAATGAAAAACAAGCCATGTGTATGACCATTATTAAGTGAATTGATATATTAGTCTATATCTGCCAAACTAGGTCTCATTTTCTTGAATAAAACAATCTCATGTTATGCTTTTAATTATAGGTGTTTCTGGTTTGATTCATTAACTTCTTAATAATGACAAAAATCTGTAGAAATAATGCCCGGGCTCTTTGATAGCTACAACTGCCAACTATTTATTTAAACCATACAATCAATGTAATTGTCATAGTATAATTTGTAATGGCTTAAGATGATCTTACACTCTTAAGCAAATCTAAACAAGCTCCTCAATTCCTTAATCTTGGTAGATACATATTTTGTTTTATCACTGTGGAAGTTATTTAGTAGTATAGTTATTTGTTTTTCGATTTTTCATATTTCAGTAACGCTAATCGTAACAAATGACGTCGTGACGGTGCTCTTCCTCAACTACGATTGGAAATCAAGTTTTGATGGACCATTAACCCAAAAATAATAATAATAGAAAACAAAATAAAAGTGATTTGGCATGTTGCTGATAATGTTGTGTAGGAGGAGAGAGCATGTGAATCTGTGACCGATGAACCTGCACATGATTGTATCACAAACAAAAAAACTCTCATTTGTCTTCTTTTTCTTCTTATTTTATTCATTTTGAAGGAAGATTTTTATATCCACCGGCGCCGCATTGCACAGTTTAGAACAAAACCATTTTACCCTGACTATTCTCTCCGTTTTGATGTTATTTAAATAATCTAAATAATGCATCGACCAATATTTATGGATTACAAACGTTTGGCTATGACTAAATATATTATTTGGTTTAAGTCTCTTTTTTAAACTCCACAGAATTTTAATTTAATAACAAAAGGAAAATCTTATATATATAGTTCAAAGCAATATTAGTGTAACCAAGATAAATTTTGTATGAACTTTTTGGTGAATATAATAAGGGTCAATTAGGTGTATAACCATATTTGATAAGCAAATGAAGAATATAGCATCATAATCTTAGAAATTAAGTCAATAGCACAAAGTCCTTGAGAATTACTATTTTGGGTTTTGATGAGAGGCAAAAATGATTTCTCTATCCTACATGGAGCAAAAAATAATTATACCCCATGGCAAGTTTTTTTGCTTTAATAATTGTTGTAAGAATTTATTCAATTTTGTGATTCTGCTAAAAATCATATTTTCTTTTTTTACATATGATATAGTTTGGATTTTTTTAAATCGGATACGTATTTTTTAAAATAGTAAATAGTTTGACATAAATAAAGTAGTATAGAATAAAGTGAAAACAGTATAGAAACGAAGCGTAGTGGCTATGATGATTCTGGAGACGGTGTGGTGGTAGTGGTTACGGTAATAGTGATAGTGTGGTGGTGGTAGACTGGTATTGGTGATGGCATGGTGGTGATGGTTGCGTCGCGGAGACTATGGTGGCGATGACATGGTGGTAATGGACTAATGGTTGTGGTGGTGGTGGTGATTATAAATGGAACGAGACGTAGTGGCCATTATCACTTTGAGGAGGTCGACGATGACTAAAGGTTTCTCTCTAACAGCGTGCTGGTGTGACGGTGTGATAGTGGTTGCGGTGATGGTGTGGTGGTGGTTGTGGTGGAGATGGTGGTGATGACATGGTGAAAATGGTGGTGGTGGTGTTTATAAATGGAACGAGATGTGGTGGTAATTATGACTTCGATGAAGTCGACCATGATAAAAGGTTATGGTGGTGAGTGGTGACGGTGTGATAGTGGTTACGTTGATGGTAGAAATAAATAGTACAGTTAAAAAGAAAAGTGAAAAGAAGGTAAGAAACAAGGGTATAATGGCAAATATTATAGAAAATATACTGAATATTATCCACTTTTTTTTGTTTTGGTTAGTTAGTGAATTATTAAATTTTTGTTGGTTATTGATGCAAATTTTCCATATAATAAACCCATCTGCAGCATATTACAAAAACAGAGTTTGCAGATCTACTCTCTTTTGGACTTATACTGTTACTAACAAATATACACATGTAAAGAGATTAGCCCAAAAAAAGAAAAAATAAAGAAATAAAAGATACACACAGGCTAGATAAAGATAAGACCACATGTAATTTTAGTTAAGGTTTTGTTGCTACTACACTAATTTACACTCACTTCCCACCTTTATTTAAACAACTCTCTCTCCTTCACTCGATCATCATCATCATCATCATCATAATCTCTTTCTTTGTTCTAAAAATTATAATCATGTCAAAGTCTCTAGCTGGCTTGGCGGTTTTGGCCGTTCTTTTTATTGCGGTTAATGCGTTTAAGCCTTCTGGTTTAACTAATGGTCACGCTACGTTCTATGGAGGAAGTGACGCTTCTGGAACAATGGGTATTTTCACACTTTAGTTTCATACGATTTTTTTTTTTTTTCGACTCTAATGGATTTGGTTAAATTACGAAATTACTTATTTTCTTGTTTTTTTCAGGTGGAGCTTGTGGGTACGGAGATCTTTACTCGGCGGGGTACGGTACAATGACGGCGGCGTTAAGCACGGCTCTCTTTAACGACGGAGCTTCTTGCGGCGAATGCTATAGGATAACGTGTGATTATGCGGCGGACTCACGGTGGTGCTTGAAAGGAGCTTCTGTGGTTATTACAGCCACTAACTTTTGCCCACCAAACTTTGCCTTGCCTAATAACAACGGAGGTTGGTGCAATCCGCCGCTCAAACATTTCGATATGGCACAACCCGCTTGGGAAAAGATCGGAATTTACAGAGGAGGAATTGTTCCCGTCGTTTTCCAAAGGTCAGAACTTTTAAAAAGACCCCAAAAAAATTAATTTGAACTATTTAACCCCTTATAAATTATGTTAAGATTTATACTCGTAAATTCGTAATGTTGTTGTCTTAACTTAACACAATCACACATATTATATAACACGCTAGAAGGCTAATGTGTAGTAAACCCTTTATAAATTAATAATATCATCATGATTAATATATATTTTTAAAAATTAATATCCATAAATTTATTGCAAGATTAAAAAACATAGTAAAGGGTTTAAAATGAATCATATGAAAGTTCAGGGTTGTTTTTACAATTGTTCTAATTTCTTAACGAAAAGTCTCTGTTTTTTTTTTTTGTGTTTGGGTTTGGGAAAAAACAGAGTAAGCTGTTACAAGAAAGGAGGAGTAAGATTCAGAATAAACGGAAGAGACTACTTCGAGCTAGTTAACATCCAAAATGTAGGAGGAGCAGGTTCGATTAAATCTGTCTCCATCAAAGGATCAAAGACTGGTTGGTTAGCCATGTCTCGTAATTGGGGAGCTAATTGGCAATCAAACGCTTATCTCGATGGTCAATCTCTCTCTTTCTCCATTACCACTACTGATGGTGCTACAAGAGTCTTCCTCAATGTTATTCCTTCTTCTTGGTCTTTTGGACAGATTTATTCTTCCAACGTTCAGTTTTAAGTTTTTTTTTTTTTTTTTTGTGGGTTCTGTCTGAAATATTATTGGCAGTGGTCGCGCTCTGAGTCTGTTTCTTAACTCCCTGAGCGACCCGCCTCTTTGTTTATTTCTTCTGGTTTGATGGGTCTGTTAATACAGAAGACCCGATTTGATTTGAGGAAAATATGATTATATGAAATGTATTGTATATTTGTATTTGAATGTTTCAAACTCGAAAAGATTCTGTAGCAAAAGGAGTTTAACACATTTGTACTTGGTTATACGTTTATATGAGTTTGTTTTTTTTTTAAAAGGAGTTTTATCAAGTACAATTCTAATAAGCAAATGTATATTACTTTGGAAAATCCAAGTTAGATAATCTTGTGTTATTGTTTACGTGTTTTAAGTTTTATCAAAACAATAATTCCTATGATCCAAGATATTTAGAAGTTCATATCAAAATAAACTCTATTTCATATGGATTTATAAGCATACTTTACAATCAAGTAGTCCATTAGCATTTCCAAATTAATTAAGATACATGAACCATTGAACCAATATTCCTCATATATTTGTCAAAATTAATGGATATATGATATCAATTTCATTGTGAGCATTTTGGTTCGGTTGGTTCATGATGATGTTAACATACATTGTCTTCAACATTCTTTAGAACCAAATTGCCAAAATGATGGATCTAATTTCAGGCAACCGCGAAGAGTACATAGATATGCCAAGCCTAAGAAGATTGGATAAAGAGCAAATAATTACTGCCAAACCGACGATCAAATAACACAAGATAACTAGCAAAATCATAATTGTGATAAATAGTTTACTTTCATGGCCTCAGTTTCACTTGAAACATAAAGAAAACTTTGAAAGATATTCTTACAGATTTATTATAATAAGTAGTTTATAAACCCTACAAAAGTATTTATTATTTTGATGAACCAAAAGAATTAAAGATTCAAGATTCAAGAACTTTGTCCTGTGATTTGCGCTAACACTAGCCTTCTTGATCTGTTAATAGTGTGGAAACAGAGGTAGAGGTGTTCTTCAAGCTCTTGCAATTGATCTGAGAATTTTTCTTCATGTCCATTAAACTCTCTCAATGCTTCCTTTAACACTTCAATCTTCCTACTCTTTGCGCACATCGCAGCTACGGTTTTTCTATGCTCTATCTCATCGCATAATCTCCCGGAAAGTCTACTCAATGTATCCAAATCTTTCATCAATATGAACATTCCTTTAGCTGCAATGTCGATTTGTGTCCCGAGCTTCTCTAGAGTTGTATCTGTCTTGCTCTTATGCATTCTTCCTTTCGCTTTCTTCTTCCTCAAAAGACCCAATGAACATAGACCGAGCAACGCAGGAGCTGCTAAAACGCCGATTATGCTGTGAAGAGCTATGATAAGCAATGTAATGACAATCGCGCTATGAGTAATCACTAGGCTATAACCTCCTAGCTTCTTGCAGAATCTAAAGAACCTGATTTTTCTTCTGATTCTTCTCCTTTTTGATGTCAACTTGGTGAGCAAATCCGAGTTTGCATCGTGAACTACACGAAACTGAGCTTCATTGATGATACAACACAGAGGGTTCTTCAGTGCGGCAAATCTCGAAAGCTCTTGAAATATCAAAGCACAAAGCTTTTCGGGGCCACATTCCAAGGTTTTAGCACCGTTACAAACCCTTTTCCCAATCGTGATAACCCTTTTGATTTTGTTGTGATTGATCTTGATTTGTTGGATGCATTGAAGAAGAGTCTCACACACGTCACAAGCTTCGGAGCTAAAGTCGAAAAAATTAACTAGAAGATTGTCGATAATCGAGTCTTGCATCAGAGCATCTAGAGTTTCTTGAGGAGGGTCGAGCAAGTAATCGGTGAAGTGTGAATGGAAGCTAAGATCTGAAGAAGATGAAGGAGAAGAGGAGGAGAGTTTGCTACATGATGTTGTTATGCCTAATTGATCTTCTGCTTTTGTCCGAATCTCTAAGTAGGAGTTTGTTCTGAATGCTTCCTTGTACTCTTCATTAACACTTAGCTTCGACGTCAAGCTACGACAACATTCCTTCTCGGACTTTCCTGCTCCATTGACAAAAAAAAAAAACAATTAGACAGATATTTTTAGAATCTTTTCTTTTTCTTCCCAAAAATGAAGAAAAACCATCTTTGGTTACATAACAAATGTATAAATTTCAGAAGTTAAAACATTTCAACATTCTTTGTAGAAAAAAACATTCAAGAACTAGTTAAGAGAAGAAGAGAAACATATCATTCAAACTTCTTGATATCTTGAGAAAAAGTAGAGAAGAGAAGAAGAAAACTAACCTTTTCTTGTAGGGAAAGACTTTAATCTAGAACCAAGAAAATTCTTCACTTTCAACATTTTCAATGGAACTTAGAAAACAAAAGCGATTCAGGTGAATAATAGACAAGCTTCTTGTTTCTTTATATACATAAGTCTTTATGTATGTCGGCTTGTGAATAAATAATGTGATTAAAATTAGAAATATATCTATAAACGTATATATAGGAATGATTGGTTAGACAAAGATAGAGAGAGGGGAAACAAAGGAGAAAGGAAGAGAAGATTGAGAAGCGACAGCTAGAGAGATGGTGGACGTTAGCACCGCTCGATAGATTTTGCTTTGTGAACAATGGCTTTTGGCGCAAGTTAGAGGGAATGACACGTTGTGTGTTGACACGTGTTGTACTCTTGGGGTCGAGATGACTTGTTAGTTTGGAGAAGAAGTTTCCTTTTACGGTTTTACCTTCGTTTGTTGTTTCTCTCGTTTTTTTTTCAATTGATTAATCATGAAAATTAAAATTCATTAATACTAAAAGAAACAATTCGTTATGGGAAATTTAGCATGGAGTTCCTCGTACGTTTCCCCAAAACGAGTAATTGCCACGTACACCTTTCTAGTTTCAAGATTATCTGGTTTGGGAATTCTTGAATTGTTTTTGACTTTTTTATTCTTTTTGTTGTTGTTTATCTTTTTGCAGTACGAATGGGTCAATGTATCAAAAAGAAAAACACAACTACACTAGTCACCCTCTTCTTTAAACTGCATGTAATTTTATTTTTAAGTACGTGTATCAAACCAATGACTAAACTAAGTAATGAAGTTTGAATACAATAATTAACTAATGAAGTTCAATATTATACATAGATTTTTTTTTTTTTTTTTTTTTTGGTTTTAATGTTAATTATACATAGATTTGGTTTAAGTAAGTAACTATATAGAATTTCAAAAGAAAAAGTATACAAGTATAATTGCTGACGATGTTCATAAATCTTCATTACACGTCTGCCTCACCGTATTACATAAACTTTCTCACATCATTCTATTTCTATGATTGATGAAACTCGAATGAAAGTGTAAGATAAGAATATCTAACTTTTGTAAAATAAGAATATCTAATTAAAAGTTCATAACTATAATAAATCCGATGTCGTCCAGCGGTTAGGATATCTGGCTTTCACCCAGGAGACCCGGGTTCGATTCCCGGCATCGGAGCTATTTTTATTTTTGAATTGAATTTACTTGGGCTTTAAAAAGGACTTGGTATATTTACATCTCAGGCTTTCTTGTAAAGAGACTTATGACTAGCCCATCTTCATTATTCTAAAAGTTTAAGCCCAAGTAAATTGATCAAGTCATATACTTTAAACTATCTATAGTTTCTTTCTCTATAGAAGAATTTTGCTATGGTTTCTCAGTTTCTCTATAGAAGAATTTTGCAAGATTTAGTCTCTTTCGGTTTACTCAACTGTTTGTCTTACTCAAGCCGATCAAAGACATTTTCACTAGACAAATAACGGTTCAAATCGAAAGGTGAGTTTGCAAAGTTCCTTAAAACCATTTTTTAAAAAACTAAATATTGGTTTCTAGATTCACCAAGATACAAAGAAAACTCAAACAAGAAGGAACCGAACTTCTTACTTGTAAATTTTGGTAGAAACTTTCTTTGGATTCTAGAAGCTATCACTGAGGCCCGGACCTAGCCGAACTCTATTTTCTCTATTATTTTGTCTTAGATTAGATAATAGAAATCAAGATCATGCGATGGCAACGGCATATGTGACTCATATTGATAAGACATACTTTCCCAAAGTAGCACGAGCACGAGTGCACTCCACTTTGAGCCACTAAAGTGGTCGGCAACAAAATTGTATTCTTAAAATCATATTTTTTGTTGGTTTTGCGATATACTAAATAAATAATGATATGATATCGACTATACATTAATTAGTTTTAAGTACAAGCCTACAAGCATGCTTTGGATTACTAGGATTCGGTGAGTGGAATGTGAATATCATTTCTTGCTAATCCACTCTGCAGGCCCGCACCACCCTCTCCTTTTATTGGCTACTCAACCAAATCCTATGATCCAATTTTGTCTACGAATAAACATTTTTAAGGTAACCTATTGTTTTTTTACACTTAAAGAGTTAAAGTCATATTGATAAATGATACTACTATCACCATGGCATACATATTGACATTATATGAATACATATATAACTCCATACATTGAAAGCTTTAATGAAGAACTTTCCGACTTTTTTAGTCCCGATCAAGAGTCCTCTAATTAGTGGACACTCCTGTCCTTCACCATCAAATAAATGGCTTATCTTGCTTTTGACTTTTGATAAACTATGGGATGAAGTAATCATTTTGTTCAAAGTCTTTGGAACCTCGGAAAGATGAGGAAAAAAAACATGTGGAGTTTTGTGATGTAATGACTGAAACAGAAGATAGTGGTCCGATCACTACCCTATTCTATCTCCACTTTTTGCCCAATTCAGAAACCCACCAATACTTCAAAGTGGGATAAGCAATTCAAGCATTAATGACTCATTATTCTTTTGCTACATCTATAGCTTCCAGTGATTTCTCAACCATTATAAATACCCTTTTCTTGAGTTGTGGTATGTGAATAAGTCTTTTAAGTGATTAGGAAACTACAAAGCCATGAAAGGCCTTACATTCTTCACACCCTTTTTATTATTTCTATATCTCTTATGCATCTTGTTTACGACAGAAACTGAAGCTGGATCGAGAAATGGTGATGGGGTTTACATTGTCTACATGGGATCAGCTTCCTCTGCTGCAAACGCTAATAGAGCTCAAATACTCATAAACACCATGTTTAAGAGGTTATACACTGTTTACATGTAGTGCAATATATACATAATTTGTTACTTGAACAGACCTTTTTATGGTTTGTTGTTGTAGGAGAGCAAACGATCTTGTCCACACATATAAGCATGGCTTCTCGGGCTTCGCAGCTCGTTTGACAGCAGAAGAAGCCAAGGTCATAGCCAAGAAACCGGGAGTAGTTTCGGTTTTTCCTGACCCAAACTTCCAGCTTCATACAACTCATTCATGGGACTTTCTCAAGTACCAAACATCAGTAAAGATCGATTCCGGTCCACCTTCATCAGCCTCTGATGGATCATATGACAGCATTGTCGGCATTCTGGACACAGGTAAGGCCTTTCACTCATTGAATCCATTATATCCTTTCCTTTTTTCCTGTCTGTTAAAAAAACAAAAGAAATATGACTTTGGTACAATGAAAACAAACAGGGATATGGCCAGAATCAGAAAGCTTCAATGACAAAGACATGGGTCCAATTCCGTCTCGGTGGAAAGGTACATGCATGGAAGCAAAGGATTTCAAGTCTTCTAACTGTAACAGGTTACAATTTTCACAACCTTCAAAAACCAAACTGGATATTACTAACTTCTTTTGAAGACTAAAACGTTCCTGTTTTTATGCAGAAAGATCATTGGAGCAAGATACTACAAAAATCCTGATGATGATTCAGAATACTATACCACAAGGGATGTGATCGGTCACGGTTCTCATGTGTCCTCCACCGTAGCTGGATCTGCCGTTGAGAATGCTTCCTACTATGGTGTAGCTTCCGGGACCGCAAAGGGAGGTTCACAAAACGCTAGAATCGCTATGTACAAAGTATGCAATCCCGGGGGATGCACTGGATCCTCTATCTTAGCTGCTTTCGATGATGCAATCGCAGATGGAGTTGATGTTCTTTCTCTGTCTCTTGGAGCTCCAGCATATGCTCGCATTGACCTGAACACTGATCCTATCGCCATTGGAGCGTTTCACGCGGTGGAGCAAGGAATCTTGGTGATCTGCTCTGCGGGTAATGATGGGCCTGATGGTGGTACAGTTACCAATACTGCACCTTGGATATTGACAGTCGCTGCCAACACCATTGACAGAGACTTTGAGTCTGATGTTGTTCTAGGCGGCAATAAAGTCATCAAGGTAAATGATATTATTATACACATAATACACCAAAACACTGAATTTTCAGGTTTTCTAAATAGAACCTTCATTGATTTTCAGGGTGAAGGTATACACTTTGCAAACGTTAGTAAATCTCCTGTGTATCCTCTGATTCATGGCAAGTCTGCTAAGAACGTTGATGCATCAGAAGGATCAGCCAGGTATAAAAAAACATCGGTGGATTCAATACAATTCCTTTGAATGAATTAAGACAGAGGTTAAGGAAGCTAATCTTTCTCTGTTTTCATTAAACACTGGCTTTTTTCAGGGCCTGTGACTCTGGTTCTCTAGATCAAGAGAAGGTAAAAGGGAAGATTGTGTTATGCGAGAATGTCGGTGGATCATATTATGCATCATCCGCTAGGGACGAGGTGAAAAGCAAAGGAGGTATTGGCTGTGTCTTTGTAGATGACAGAACTAGAGCAGTTGCTAGCGCCTATGGCAGTTTTCCTACGACAGTAATTGACTCAAAGGAAGCAGCTGAGATCTTCTCATATCTCAACTCAACCAAGTATTTAATAAGCAAACCTTCCAATCTCAAAGTTCTACGAACTATAATCAGTAAAGAGCTAATGAATGAAACCTTTTTCCTTGTGCTGCAGGGATCCTGTTGCAACAATTCTTCCAACTGCAACAGTTGAGAAGTTCACACCCGCGCCGGCTGTTGCATATTTCTCTTCCAGAGGACCTTCAAGCCTCACAAGAAGCATTCTCAAAGTAATCCAAAAACTTGTGGCCTGCTTTAGTTATTACCTGATTAGAAGCATCTACTTACCTCTATTTTACAGCCTGACATTACAGCACCGGGAGTCGCGATACTCGCTGCATGGACTGGAAACGACTCAAGCATTTCACTAGAAGGCAAGCCGGCTTCTCAGTATAACGTCATATCAGGAACTTCCATGGCAGCTCCACATGTTACAGCTGTTGCATCTCTAATCAAATCACAGCATCCCACATGGGGTCCATCCGCCATCAGATCAGCAATTATGACAACAGGTTAGGACTCCTTCATTGCATATTTTGTGATTACGGCATGCAAAATTGGCTGTTCTTTAACTTCCATGTCACATTTGCAGCGACTCAGACGAACAATGACAAAGGTCTTATAACAACAGAAACTGGAGCAGCAGCCACACCTTATGACTCTGGAGCAGGAGAACTAAGCTCAACAGCATCAATGCAACCAGGACTAGTTTACGAGACTACTGAAATTGACTACCTTAACTTTCTCTGTTACTATGGATACAACGTAACCACAATCAAGGCTATGTCAAAAGCACTTCCACAGAATTTCACTTGCCCTGCAGATTCCAACTTAGACTTGATCTCAACGATCAATTACCCATCAATTGGAATCTCTGGATTCAAAGGAAATGGAAGCAAGACAGTTACAAGAACAGTGACCAATGTTGGTGGAGACGGTGTGGTTGTTTACACAGTCAGCGTGGAAACACCACCAGGGTTTAATGTTGAAGTGACGCCAGAAAAACTCCAATTTACAAAAGATGGTGAGAAGTTGACATACCAGGTGATAGTGTCTGCTACTGCTTCACT